CTTCCAAAGATTATCGGCAGGTGCAGGGTTTGAGAGACCCCTCTCATGATGACTGCAAGGCCCCAGCTCATGGCTCTGACTCTCCTGCCCCCTCACCATTTCTAGCTTCTGCCCTGCCCCTGTCACCTGAACACCCTGCATCCGCAGCGTCTGGCTCTCAGGGCTGGATGGCTCCCCCAGTCCGCTCCTCCTCCGCCCCCCAGCCCTCCACACACCGGGCTCTGATGTGGCCTCCGGCTGCCGGACAAGGGCTGTTCCGAGAGTCAGCATGAGCCAGAGGCCCAGCGACAGCACAGGGAGGACACAGCCCCTCCGTCCGGGCATCCCTGGTTGAATGCCGAGTTGAAGGGCTGACATTTAACATAATGGTGAGCCGCCTTCACTGCCTGACTGTAAAGCAAAGTGAATCAAGCAAATATTTGTCTTAAAACCACATATACAGCCCTGACCGGTTTGGCTCAGTGGATAGAGTGCCGGGCTACAGACTGAAAGGTCCCAGGTTCAATTCCGGTCAAGGACATGTACCTTGGTTGAGGGCACATCTCCAGTGGGGGGGGGTGCAGGAGGCAGGTCATCAATGTTTCTCTCATTGATGTTTCTAATCCTTTATTCCTATCCCTTCCTCTCTGTAAAACTCAATAAAATAAAATAAAAACACCACATGTACAAAGAATTGAAGCAAGGCGGAGACTGGCCAGGTGGCGTGTGCAAGGACTGGCTCTCAGGTGTGGAGATGTCCTAGTGCCGGGGCTATAGGGAAGGCAAGCACAGGCTGGATCCTATGGTTGAGGATATATTTTGGGGAAGATGAAGAGAGAATTAGGGGGGAGAGAATCATGGCAGAGAGGTATGTGCTGTGTGACCTGGGGCAGGGCACTAGACCTCTCTGGTCCTGCTTCTTTATCCGTGAAATGAGAACAAGTATAATACCTTCGTGGTCCTTATAAGTGTCATATGAAATGTCTGTCAAGTGCTCAGCCTAGAGTTTGGCACGGGTCAGTCGAGGTAATAGGACCAAGCAAGCAGCGCCAAAGAGACACGGGGCTGCAGTGCCTGAGAGTCCAGATGCTGCTGGCGGCCAGGTGAGAGGTCCGGAGCCCGTGGAGCGGCCGGCTGCTGTGAGATCCGCCAGCACAGGCTGGGCCGGCAGAGCGGGCCAGTGCTTCTCCCCTGACTGTGCACCAGGATCGCCATGGAGCACTGCAGGCTCCTCTCAGAGATACAGGGGGGAGGCTGCTGGTGAGCAGTCAGGGCTGCAAAGAGGCCGAACCCGGGGCACAGGGGGCAGGGAGCCAGCATGTGGCAGGGGCAGGGCAGACGGAACCCTGACCCCACACTACCCCCCAGCCAGTCCTGGAGAGAGATTGGCTCCCGTGAGCATAGCCTCCAGAGCCCAGGGTGATGGCCACCCCAGAAGACAGCCAGGCAGGATTCAGGCCCCGGAGCCAACGTGTCTCCGACAGGAGCATTGCCCAAGGATCTCCCAGGACTATGGTCGGCAAACTCTTTGGCCCCTTGAGTGTGGCTCTTCCACAGAATACCACGGCCTGGGCGAGTCTATTTTGAAGAAGTGGCGTTAGAAGAAGTGTAAAAAATATGGCTCTCCAAAGAAATTTCAGTTCTTGTACTGCTGATATTTGGCTTTGTTGACTAGTGAGTTTGCCGACCACTGCCTAGGAGGCCTGCCTCGGAGCATCGGAGGTCTCAGAAACTCCCTGCTGGTGGTGGAGACAGAGCTTAGACAGGAAGTGAGGCCGTCAGTGAAAAGCTGTGAAGAGGAACAGGCTAGGGTAGGGGAAGGAGGTGACAGCTGGCAGACTCCACAGGGTAATGACTGGGAGCCGGGAGGACGGAGGAAAGAGCATTCAGATGGGAATAGAGTGCAAGGCCGAGAGCAGGTGCTCGGGCGGGTGAGCCGTAGGGAGATGGCAGGCGGGCAGAGACGTCTAACCACAGTCGGAGTCTAAGGTTGAGGAAGCCACTGAAATCCGCCACTGGACACCCAGCTAATCCCCGCTGATGTGATTTTTCAGCAACCAGAGCAGCGACATACCAGCCGAGGTGGCCGTATCCCATTTCCCTCTCGAACTTAAAATAGGTATAACCGTTCCGGTGACAGAGAGGACCCTTAATAAACGGACTTCTGGTGTTCCCTGTTTGCATCGGCCAGATGTGATCCCCAGAGAATGAGAGAAGGCAGAGCGCGCTCCCTCAGAGATAAAAGGACTCAGAACATAAAGGTTGTTGTGGGCACGTGGCTGTGAGTGACAGCTCCACATTCGTCCTCATACTAACATTGAGAATGAATGCCATCTGCCCGGGCCCCGTTGTTTGGAGTGCCGTCCTGTACACCAAAAGGTTGCGGGTTCTATCCCTCTCTCTCTCTAAAAAAAAAAAACAAAAAAAAAACCCAAAAACCAAAAAACAATTGTAGCCCTAGCCAGGTTGGCTCCTTGGCCTGCAGACAGAAGGGTCCCCGGATAAATTCCAGTCAAGTGCTTGGTCCCTGGTCCCGGTCAGGGCTGGTGCACTCTCACATCAATGTTTCTCTCTGTGTGTCTCTCCCCTTCCCTTCTACTCTCTCTAAAATTCAATGGAAAAATATTCTCAATGAGGATTAACAAACAAACAAAAAAATCAATTAAAAAAATCCTTGGTGAGGATTTTAAAGAGTAAGTACCATCAGAAGCAAGATTAAAGGAATATATCAAATGTATTCCTTAATAATATTTGGTAATGAGCTGTGTTCGGTTACTTCTCAATGTCTTCTGTTCTTTGTCCCCCCTATTCTCCTCCTCCCTGTGGCCTGGCTGTAGCTACTTTGAATTCACCTTTGTGGTGGATGCTTCTAGGGTGCCTGTGGGTCCCCATCGCCTCCTGAGCTGCCGTGGCACCCAGAGGCCGGGCTCTTTGCCTAATCGGAGAGCGGCCTTTATCTGCCGTGTTTGGTGCGGCTCAGGCCTTCCAGCCCTCTGGGCTGAGGTCCCAAAGTCACTTTCATTCTATGATGGTCCCTTTCTGACGAGGGACAGGTCAGACGGCAAAGTGACAGCCTAGAGCCCCACAGCCTGCTGCCCACAGTGCGCTGTGCTCTGCTCTGGGTTTCCAACAACTTCCCTCTCAGGCAGCCCGGCTCCTGGGCCTTCAGGAAGGGGTCTGACGGGCATTTTAACTCCTAACTTCACTTCTCTGTTTGCTCACGCCCTGAAAGCATGGAGGGCATCGTCCCTGTCTGAGGGCGGTGGCGGGGGTGGGAGGGTGGGGGGGTGAGGCTGCTGGTGCGTCTGGGAAGAAGCATCCTGACAGCAACCAGAGCACTGACATACCAGCCAAGGTGGCCAGGCCAGGCAGCCCCCTCGGGAGGAAGGCAGGGGTAACTCCTGGGCTTTGAGGCACAAAAGGGGAACGTGACCTCAGGGGCTGCCCCATCACCGGAAACACCCGGGTGCCAGCCAGCTGGAGTCCTCACACCTTCTCTGGGCCAGGGAGGGGGCGGGCAGGAGATGAGGGGCTGAACACTGAGCTCCGGGGCCTGGGCTTGCCCCCTCCCTATGCCTGGCCCGGGGAGGCTGGGGCTCCTAGCTAGCCCTGTGTTGGGGAAAGGGGTGCCACAGACCAGATCTCTGCTCTCTTGCCCTATGGGGGTGCTCCGAAGCTTCCCCAGGACAGCCTATACGCTCATATCCCACTCTCCCTAGAGCCCAGACCTCCTCTCCTTCCTCCTCCAGGCACTGCCTGACCCCCACCCTCCCAATCACAGCTCCTAGAGCCCGCACTCTGCCCGCCTGCCCGCCCCAGGAAGGCTCCTTGTGTGATTAAAGCGATTCCCACAGAAGCACTTCATTCTTTTCTGAAAAGCCCTCGGGCCTGACCCTGCCAGGGCACATTTGCATTTCAAGCAGAGAGTTTGTACAAGCAGAATTCAGCGCTAATTGGTGGAAATGGGGGCAATTGTTTGGGGAGGAGACTTTCCCAGGCCCTGCTCTCCTCTTTCCTCCCCCAGCATGGGGAGGGGTGCGGGAGAGGGGTGCCGGGTGCCCCCCCACCCCCCGCCCCAGGGCCCTGCTCCGGAGGAGGGTTACAGGTGGTTCCCAGAGGCTCCACTTTCTCCTCCAATTGAGCACCCTTTACGGCGGGACGGAAATGGAGTCCTTTCCCCAAGGTTCATGTGATTGCCATGGATTCCCTAACGCCATCACCTCACAGCACCACAGACAGACCTCCGTCTCCTGATGGAAGAGATGCAGTTTTCTAAAACCAATCACCGTTTTCCCTTGGCCCACAGCGTGCTGGGGGGTGGGGGGCGTGGCGGGCATGGAGAACCCCGCACTGGCTGCCCCTGACCCCTCCCCTACACTCAAGCACCAGCTTTCAAACCCCACGGACACGCTGCCTTAAAGATGCACTTCCAAATCTTAATAATTCATGGCAATGCTCATTTACCAGGGTTTCACACAGCTTTCTGTGTTGGAAATGGCCTCAGGAGAGAGCGTGGTGGAGGAAATTGAGGAGCAGAGGTTGAAAGAAGGGGGCAGCGGAGGAAGAGGGACCCCATCTCCCAGCTGCCTGGCCTGGGAGAAGATTTCAGAGCTGCAGGAGGAGGCAGTTTTAGAGTGTGTGTGTGTGTGTGTGTGTGTGTGTGTGTGTGTGTGTGTACAGAACATTGCAGTGTGTGGGGGCAGCATCTGACCTATATGTAATCTCCCATCCCAAATCCTCGCCCCTCAAATGCTCCCCCGTGGCCTGGCCCCGTGAACAGGAGCTGGGCTGCTGCCCTCACCCGCACAGGGCACTGCACCTGACTCCAGGCAAAAGGCAGGGAGCGAGACAGGCAAAAGCAGCGGGAGAGGCCGGCCCGGGAAGGATGAGGCCTGCTCTTCCGGGGAAGGGCGCTTCTGTTTCCCTCTGGGGTTTGGCTCCTTACAGGCCCCCCTGGCCCGGTCCCAGGTCCCCGGGCCTGACCCTGAGGCCGTGCTCACGAACGTCTCTCTGCCCCCCAGGTGTGTGCGGCTGCTGCGGCGCCCTGCGCCCCCGGTACAAACGGCTGGTTGACAACATCTTCCCCGAGGATCCCGAGGTGCGTCACTCCTCCGGCCAGCACTGCTGCGTCTCTCCCCGTCAGGGCTGCTGGGGGGAGGCAGGCCACCGGGTCCCTGGCCCCTGGGCCCTCCCGGAGAGGGAGACACTGTGCAGGGCGGTGAGGGCTGAAGGCTGAGGGATGGAGGTCTCTGAGCTCAGGGCTCTGAGAGGGCTTTGCCTGCTTTGGGCCATTGCTGACCTGAGACGTCTTTCCCACTCACATCTCTGGGCGATGGTTCCTGGAGCTGCCGGCTCTCTTGCCGGGACTGTTCCCGTCTTGGGTTTCGGCTCAGGAGCCCGCGTCTTCTCCCGGCGCCCCCTGGGTCTGGCAGGTGTTGGGATGTGCACACGGGGCACCTGGCTTCCCGGCTTCCAGGCCTCCACCCCACCCTCAGGCCGCATCCCACGGCGTGTGCTTTCAGGAGTCCGCATCGGATGTACCTGACTTGCTCTCTGGGACTCAATGGCCTCTTCGTGATGGGCAGAGGGAGAGGTGTGGGGGAGGAGGGAGTCACACTTCTAGAATCCTCTGGAGAAAGGAGAATTCCCTTCTCCTTCCTGTTCATATCTTGGTGCTGGATATCTGACCCATTTTATTTCTGAGTCACTTTCCATGAAGCCTTCATACACACACACACACACACACACACACACACACACACATACCTATACACACATGCACATATATGCTTTCTTGTATATATACACACATTGGTGTACACCATATACACTCTCTCTCTCTCACACACACACACACACATTTATAGCACTTACTACCTATAGTTCTAGCCAATATGCTTTGGCCTACGTTGTGAGTTCCTGGAGTGCAAGACCTGTATTTTAATCCTCTCTCTACATCTGAAATCTGCACGCTGCTTGCCACATGCTTGTGGCACCCTGCCTCATGTTGATAAAGCGGAGCCAATTTTACCTTGAGACTTGAACCCTGCCGGCCCCGGGAGGGCCACCGAGAGCAGGAACGGCCGTCTTTTCCAGGATGGCCTGGTGAAGACCAACATGGAGAAGCTGACCTTCTACGCCCTCTCGGCTCCGGAAAAGCTGGACCGGATCGGCGCCTACCTCTCGGAGCGGCTCATCCGGGACGTGGGTCGTCATCGATACGGGTGAGCAGAATGGGAAAGGGAAAAGGGTGTGTTCAGAAACGATGTCACGTGTTTAGGGTGAGCCATCGGGTCCCTTTAAGAAACGGATAGTGGCCTGGACGATTGCTCTCCGCCCCTTCCCTGCAGCCCCCCACGGCTGTCCGCCTGCTCTCTGTCTGTGAGTCCGCCTCTCCTTTGCCTTTTATATCCACCCTACCTTTCTCCTGGTGCAGACGTTTATCTGTCTTAGGCCAGAGTGTGTCAGTAGCTTTGGCAATGTCTCCCTGTCACCCGTCCTTTCTCTTCTGGTTCTTCCATTAATCCTCCTAGCTGTGATCTTCAAAATACGGATCCAAAGCTCCGCTTTCCTAGCCCCTTGAGAATGCAATCCAGCCTCCTCAGTTTGACCTCTATAGTCTTCCACAACCTGCTTCCACACCCAGCCACACCCAGCCACACCCACCACGCTGCCACGTCTGCCATGCCTGCTCTCGACCCACTACAGATGGACTGGCTGTCCACCCCCCCCCCAGCTCTCTGCCCTCCCCTTGACACCTTCATGACCCCCACCACTGCTCACAGCACCACCTCCCTCCAAGGCCCCTTCCTTCTGCTGAGGGAGACGGAGAACCAGAGAGGAAAGGTTGGCATTGCACTGATGGCATGAGAAGGTCCTCACCTCTGAAGAACCCACCAGACAATCTGAGATCAAGCTATCCCGGTATAAAAGCAAGACCCAAACCTATTTGTTCTATGGCCATTTAAAAAAATATATATATTTTATTGATTTTGTATTGAGAGGAAGGGAGAGAGATAGAGAATTAGAAACATCGATGAGAGAGAGTCATCGATCAGCTGCCTCTTGCACACCCCCTATTAGGAATATGCCCGCAACCAAGGTACATGCTCTTGACTGGAATCGAACCTGGGACCCTTCAGTCTCCAAGCCGGTGCTCTATCCATTGAGCCAAACCGGTTTCGGCTCTATGGCCATTTTAAAGAATAAAATTAAGTCACACACTCCAGAAAAAGGGCATGAGGAGAGTGTACATGCAGATTATCTACATCGCCTTGTCATATAGCAAAGCAGGTGTACACAAGCAAAAATGACGTTATCCTGGATTGAACCTGCAGCCAATAGGCAAGCAATAACATTAAACATTAATACAATTTTCGCCTGCCCTCTCCGCAGTTCTCTCCGTGAGAATATCCTGTGGTCAGCAGAGCCACTTAGGACTATCCGCTGCCCTCCGATCTGCCACTCAAAACTGGCGTCATCCTGTTAAAAGCAGCCAGTGCAGCATCTAAGTATTTGAAGTCTTGAAAGCCTCCCTGGGGGCTCCAGTCATAACCATTTAGAGAAGAAAAATCTGTTAGAGCTGATCTCTCTCCTCACCCTCCCGGTCTTCCCCTACCCAGTCCTCCCTCAGCATCATCATCACCTTCCTCGTCACTGATGGTTGGAAGAGCAGAATATTTGCACCCAGAAAGGCTGGGGAGGTGGGGGGGGAGGGGTCTCTGCCATCGTGTAGGTGTCTGGATTTATGGTTTGACCATCTGGGCATGAACCTTGGATGTTGGACCCAGTGGCAAAACCACCCTCTTCTGCCCCACTGCCTCCCCGCCCAGCCACCTGCATGTGAACTCGGTGCTCATGTGTGTTTAGCATCAGGGATGATAACCGGATGTGGGCAGGCAGAGCCCTGGAGGATGGAGATGCCCACACCAAAAGGAATGGGCTGCTCCCCGAGGAGCCTGGCCCCCCAGCTGACCCGGCGGGGTCCCTGGGAGATACACGGTCTCCGGAAGGACCCAGAGCCTGGTTGGAGGACGGGGCTGACCCTTCAGATACACCACAGATTCGTACTAGATGAGGAGGCTCATCCCTCCACTGACAGAGGTCCGCCGAGAAGGTTCTGCCCCGGAATGGGGCTGACCAAACTCATTCCAACGACCCAGAAGCTCGTTGTCAAGGCCCTGGCTCTCTGAGTGATTCTTAGGCAATGCCTGGCCTTGTGACAGCTGCCCCCTCTCTCCTGCCTCTGGACTTCATCTCTGCCCCTGGTCCGTGTTTTCCCTCTGACTAAGCCTGGTCTCTGCATTTTGCGTGGCCTGCTTCTCCTCTCCTGGAGGCTCAGTGCCCCCCTGGCTCCTGGGGCCACTCCTGCCCGAGCACAGGGCGTTCAAGCAGAACCAGCTGCCTTTTCTGGAACTCAACGCAAGGGACTTCCTGCACACCAGAGCCTCTATGTATCTTACTCAGCTGTTACAACTCATCTTCCGCCCTGACCCTGAGTTCCTGCTGTTGCCAACCCGTGTCCTCTCCAAGACTTGGCTGCTGCTGCCCATGAATCCCAGTCCATCCCAGAGTCCTTGGGCCCTGCCCTCCTCACCTGCTGGGAAGCCCAGCTATTGCATCACCTGCTGCTGTGGTCTGTCACTTGTTCTTGCCTTCTCCCCCGGGCCCCTGCAGTGGGCTAGTCCTCACCACCTCCTTCCTGTCCCATTCTGCTCCAAGGACTCAGTCAGGTCAGCTCAGGTTCCCAGGCCAGTTGCCACACTGGACACCTTCCAGGGTACCAAGCCCAGATCAGATCTCTGTCTGACCCTAGTCCTACTGAGCAGGTGCCAGTACTCTGTTCCCTCTGAGAGTGCAGGACATACCCTGGTAGGTTCTGGTGAGAAAGGACCAAGGCAGCAAGCATTGGACTAGGGAGTATTCCAGGGTTCCATTGACTTTTAATCAAGATTCTTTGAAAAGTTCAAGTTCACAGTCACAAACCTGCCATCCTTACTGTTGGGATCAAAGATGGGGAATGAAGAAGAGCGTGTTCCCAATGTAGGCCTTTCGTTTCACTTCCACCATAATGTTGACTTTCCCTCAAGTTTCCACTCCCAGTCAGTAGCCAATTTTTTTTTTTTCTTTCTTTCTAGCAAAGGATGTTTTTTTCTTATCAGGATTTTTCTGGGAATTTTTTTTTTTTTTTTTTTTACAGGAAAAGCAACAATCTAAGCTCCAGGGTTTGGAAGGCCTTCTAGTTTCTTCTCTTGCCAAACCACACCCCACCCCTTCCTTTCCCCTCATGTAAACTCTATAAAATAATGGCGAAACCCGTCATTCAGAAGGACGCCGGGATGACTCATCAGAGCAGAGAATGCCACGCCGCCCGCCCCGTTTCCCACCTGCCGCGTTTGGTTAGCAGACTGTGTGCAGGTTTGTCTGCAGGGAAAGTCTGTCCCCTTTGGAAGGGTCCCAGCCCTGCAAGAATCAGTCTGCTTCATCGGCCCGCACAGCGGGCCTGGAACATGCTGGGCCCGGGCCCGCCAGGCATAGTGGGTTTCCTGGACTGTGACTGTGATGGCCTGTGAAGGGCAAGGCTGTAAGGACAAGGGCAAGGCCATGGTGAGCCAGGAGTGGCCAGTCCTCGGGGCAGAGAAGAATGGTGACTTTGTGCAGGAAGGAGCTCATACTCAATGCTGCCTCTGTATCTCAAAGACATTCTGAAGATAAGAGCATGACCTGATCCGTTTGTGAATGTGCCCAGAGATGACCTATTTCATAATATTTAAGACTATTTTATTCTAATAATAGTAAATACAATTTAATAATAGTTGACAATTCGCATAGATAAAAGGAAAACATTTTATAACCGTTAACAGGAAGAGAGAGGCAGTGCTTCTTTTTCTTTTTAAAAAATATATTTTATTGATTTTTTTACAGAGAGGAAGAAAGAGGGATAGAGAGTGAGAAATATCAATCAGCTGCCTCCTGCACACCCCCACCGGGGATGTGCCCACAACCAAGGTACATGCCCTTGACCAGAATCGAACCTGGGACCTTTCAGTCTGCAGGCTGACACACTATCCACTGAGCCAAACCATTTTCGGCGAAGCAGTGTTTTTATGGTTGTCCAGTGTAAGCATTAGTTCAAGGGTACCTAAGAAATGGTTTCTAATGTCTAAAACAATAACAACAACAACAAAAATTTAGAAGATGCCATGACTGCCTTACTTTATATGCTTGGGTTTGCAAAGCTGACTCATGTGCAAGACAGTTTTGACTCACGAGAGATGAAATTAAGTAGCTGCCACAAGAGGTATTATGGAGCTTTGGAATTTGGTCAGTGCATTTCCCATAAAAATGCCAAAGTCATTCTTCTCAGGGCTAGAAATAATCCTAAAATTTATACGGAACCACAGAAGAGTTCCAAGGAGCCAAAGCAATCCTGAGAAAGAAGATTACAGTTGGAGGTATCATGCTCCCTGATCTCAAACTATACTCCAAAGCTGTAATAACCAAAACAGTATATACTAGCACAAAAACTGACACAGATCAATGGACTAGAATAAAGAACTCAGAAATAAACCCCTGCTTATATGATCAACTAATCTATGACAAAGGAGGTAAAAATATATACTAGAGTAATGACAGTCTCTTCAACAAGTAGCATTGGAAAAATTGGGCAGATACATGCAGAGAAATGAAACTGGACCACTCTCTTATACCACATACAAAAATGAACTCAGAATGGCTTAACTATTTAATTGTAAGCTCTGGGACCATGAAACTCCTAGAAGAAAACATAGGAAGTAAACTTTATCTGACATCAGTCTGAGTGAAATATTTTTGGTAATAATCCCTCAAGCAAGGAAAACAACAGAAAAAAAATAAACAAATGGAACCACATCAAACTAAAAAACCTTCTGCATAGCAAGGGAAACTTTCAACAAAGCAAAAAGGCAACCTACTGAATGGGACAGTATATTTTCAAATGTTATATAGGGGTTGATATCCAAAGTATATAAGATTTGAATCACACAATTCTCTGATCTCACTGGATTTGGGTTCAGAATTTGCTCTTCTGGGCACCTGTCCTATGTGCTTGAGCTTACTCATGAAAGGGTCCAGACTTCCTCTGTCCCCGTGTTCTTCAGTCGTAGGATGAGGGACTGAGGAGTTGGCCTGGCGTGGGCACTTGATGGAATGGCCTCAGGCGTGGACAACTTGGAGAAGAGCCTCGTTACCCGGATGCTGCTCTGGAAGTCTCTGCGCGACCATCTAGTTTGCCCCCATCATGCATTGCGGGTGGGGATGGGCGTGTGGGGCCATGGCATCGGTGCTGTTTCCCCAGGTACGTGTGCATCGCCATGGAGGCGCTGGACCAGCTGCTCATGGCCTGCCACTGCCAGAGCATCAACCTTTTCGTGGAGAGTTTCCTCAAGATGGTGGCCAAGCTGCTGGAGTCAGAGAAGCCCAACCTGCAGATCCTGGGCACCAACTCGGTAAGGAGCCGCCCCAGGGGCTCTGGAGGTGGGAGTGGGGGTGGGGGCGGGTGGGACCTCCGGGTCAGCGTCGTGATCCATCCCTATCTGGTTTCTGACCCTAAGTACCGCTCAGTGCTGTCTTAGCATTTCTCCTTTGTGGGAATACAGGCATGTTCAGTTTTTTATTTGACTAAAAATATATGATTTATATTATAAAGTATATAACTATATACCATAGAAAAAATAAATTTAAAAAAAATTCCCCATATGAAAGCATATGATTCAGTAGTTTTCGTAGCGTCACAAGGCTGTGCAACCATCACCGTGATCGAATGTATTTATCTTTAGACTGATGATGTTTGGACTTTTTTTAGCAATAGATTTTCCCCTTAAAGAATTTTAAGTAGGGCCCTGAGGAATATAAAAATAGATCGAAAGGGGTAGGAGGGGTGCCTGGGCCATGCTTTGAAATCTAGTCCAGGTCATGCCTCTTTCAAAACCAGAATAAACCGATATCCATGAGACAGAGGTGCCAGATATGTGGAGACATCACGGGGAAGCAGGAATCAGGGCTTCTGGCTTAGTTCTGCCCTCACTCTGCTGGGTAACTTGGGGAGAGTTATCTGTGGGCCTCGGCATTTCCATGGGTGCGATGAGCAGGTTGAGCGGTCCACAGTCTGTAATGCTGGCCTGCGTGCGGCGACTGCTAGACCTGAGAGGTTATGGTTCAGGGAGAGAAGAGCCATCAGATGTGTCGAGAACTGCCAGCTTCCTACATGTGTCTATCCATGCGTGAACGTTCTGGTTGCTCTCTTCCACATCTTGCCCTCTCTCCTCTTCCCTCTTCAGGGCAAACTCTCAGCTCTAGGTCTTTGGGCAGCCTGGTGTTAAAAGCTCTATAATGCAGCTATTTTACAGATCGCACACCGACATGTGTAAGGATTGCCTTCTTAGCATTCCCCTCCTGCCTTTTCGGGGATTTTTATTGCACAGGCCACAGCTGCTTTCCTGTTCTATGTAAGTTGATTTAACCAGAAAATAATCTCCCGGTTTCCCCTTTTTCACCAAAAGCCACAACCTATGCCCTTCTCTTCCCTCTGCGAGCCGGCCGCCTTTGACAGATGACACGGACGGTAGCCGAGGGTGAAGTCCTTTGTCAGGTTGCCCTGGCAACTGCGTCAGATACGGCTTCCCTTGTCCTGTTTCAGATAACTATAGTCTGGAAGAGAACATCTGAATGGAAATAAACCAGTCACCCAGAGGCGAGTCCCCGTGGGGGACACAGAAGCAGGTGGCCACCAGCTTTTGCATCCCCCACAGTGAATCCTGGCCCGGGGTGGGCGTTCTGTAGGTTATATCCTGGAAAGCCAGGGCCCTGCAGATTCCTAGATTCTCCATCACAGCAAGTCATTTCATCTGCAAAGCAGCGAGTCAGCTAACGATCACTGTGTGCAGGCAGTGAGGATGATGAGGGACAGGCAGCTATAAAAGTCCAGGCAATAGTTATGATAGACGCAGCTTCAGAGGCACCTGCCTTTGCTTCTGTCTCTCACCAGATGCTCTTTCCAGCTCTCTAAGTCTGCAAGCTTCTCAGACCTTCCCAAGAAGAGTATTCTTTTGCTCCCCATCATTTTATTTTTAAAAACATATTTTATTGATTTTTTTTTTTTTTTACAGAGAGGAAGAGAGGGATAGAGAGTTAAAAACATCAATGAGAGAGAAACATCGATCAGCTGCCTCTTGCACCCCCCCCCCCCCCACTGGGGATGTGCCCGCAACCAAGGTACATGCCCTTGACTGGAATCGAACCTGGAATCCTTGAGTCCGCAGGCCGACCCTCTATCCACTGAGCCAAACTCGTTTCCGCTCCCCATCATTTTAGAGCTGCCGGCATGCCAACGCCTGATAAAGTCTTAAGAGTCCAGCCTGCGTTTCAACTGGTGTTCGTGGGGGTTCGAGGCTTTGTGGGGGGAAGAGGGCTGCAGGAGAAGGTCTAGGACTCTGTAAGGAAGCTTGCAACTCTTCACTCGGGTAAAGGGTTTTGCTGCCCGAAAGTTGAAAGAAAGACACAAAGAAGGAGGGAAAAAGAGAAAGAAAGAGAAAAGGGAAAAGAAAAATACAGAGCTCATCTACCACCCACATTTTGCTGGGATTTCTGCCCGGAAACGGAGGCCCATCAGAAGTCAAATAGCTCTTCTGTGCTTGCACACCCGGGGCACTAGATTTAGAGGCGATTTATTCAGCCCTGTGGCGTGTGTTCTCTTCTCCCTGGGCCCCACCCAGTGTGGGGTCCTCTTCCTGGAGCCCGGCCGTGGCCCCAGCCTCCCTGTGGTCAGGCTGACCCGGAGTCACCTCTGCTCCTGCTTTCCCCTCAGACCTGGTTTTGCTGCCTGCATCAGCTCAGAGCACATCCTGTCCTTCTGCAGAGCCTGTCCTCAGAATCCCGCCCCTTCAAGGCCACACCTGGCCAATGATGGAGGCCCCTGCACAGCTTGGGAAACCTACGAATCCCCAGGGCTCAGTCACACCTACTCAGCACTGTGGAGGGGGCACCTGGGCGTCTGTTTTCGTTTCTCTTGTGGCACTAGCAGCAGTTTTGGGGACCACTGACCTATTGTAGTCTTAAACCTGTGCAGGGTTTCTTCCCCTCTTCCTTCCTTCCTTCCCTCCCTTCCTTCCTTCCTTCCTTCCTTCCTTCCTTCCTTCCTTCCTTCCTTCCTTCCTTCCTTCCTTCCTTCCTATATCCATTATTTCTCTCTCCAAATGTCTCCACTATTTTGCTTTCTCTGATTCCTTCTCTGAGTTCAAACATAAGTTCAAGTGTCTTCCAGTATAAAAATATGAAACAAACACGGTTTCTCTCAATGATTCTCTTCCTCCCTGTGCCCCTGACATGTCGGTGGCCTCCAGGGCTGGTCCTCCATCCTCCTCTCACTCTCTGTGCCACCCTGGGCCATTCCATCATTTCTTGTATTTTAAACCGTCCTCTAGAAATGCTGCCATCTCCAGCCCGTGCAGAGACCAGCCCCGCCGGAGAGCAGCGGGCGCAGGTGAGTCCTCCAGGGCAGTCAGAGAAGACTGACACGGCAGGTCCCCGGCTCGGCTCCAGCCAATGGCGGGGTCGCAGAGCAGAGGCAGCGGGTGCCTCCCTAGCTCTGTGCTTCCCGGGTCCGGGCCTTGGGGGCCTGCCCCTGGGGCTGCTCAGGGCCAGAGGGATTGCTGCTTTCTCTGGCATCAAGGACTGGGCTTTCCAAGATCTCAAAACCAGTTGTGCCAAGAAACCTTGAAAGAGGGGAGACATAGTAAAGGTAGAAGGAGAGGACGTCTTCAGTCTCAGAATGGCCTGTGTGGTCGCCAGGGGATTTGCTGGACGAAATCACCTCTGAGCAGGCTGTTTCTCCTGTTTCCGGGAGTCACTGGAAACAACGGCCGTTGGGAGAACTGGGCCCGGGTTTGAAAATCAAAACCCCGTGGTTTACCAGATCTGCTTTCCCCGCTAGGATCCTCTTCGGGAAGCAAAGAGGCAGGGCCATTTCTCCTTACGTAGGCAGCCAGCAGGAAGGCCGGTGCCTGGGACCAGGGGAGAGCTGGGTTCTCAGAGCGCCCATTGGTCGAAGGGAAGGCTGACTTGCGCATGGAGAGGCTCGGTGAGTGCCCAAGGGAGGCCAGCCAGCTCGGCTGCTGTTTTCCAGACCAGGGGAGAGCTGCTTCTGCAATGTCAATATTTGGAGCTTCCCTGTCTTTGTTGACCCAGGCCCTCAGTAACTCTCAGCTTTCACACGCTTGCGGCTCCCGCCCGGCTGTGCAGGGGCTGGAGATGTGTTGCAGTAAGCTTTGCACCGTTGGAGTTGGAGCGTATAAAGAACTGACACTTTGATCTTGAAAGGGTGGCCCCGTGGTCTTTGAAGTGTCACATGTTCAGGATTTTCAGTTCGTTGCTATGGAGACCTTTCTCATCATTGTAATATTTTTTTAAAAAAAAATAAAAGAAACCAATTATTATTTCACAATCTCATGCATTAGGTAAGTGGCTTTTTCACAAAAGCCATTTGTAAGGTATGAATTAACAATGGTAAGGGTGAGCCCAACCAGGATTGCTCAGAGGTTGAGCGTCAAACTCTGAACCAGGAGTTAACGGTTCAATTCCCAGTCAGGGCACTTGTTTGGGTTGTGGGCTCGATCCCCAGTAGGGGGTGTGCAGGAGGCAGCTGGTCATTTATTCTTTCTCATCATTGATGTTTCCATCTCTCTTTCCCTCCCCCTTCTTCTATGAAATCAATAAACATATCTACCTAATAAAAGAACACCATGCTAATTGACTGTAACTTTGAGATACCCACCCACCAATCAGGAGTGCATATGTAAATCAACCCAACAAATTTGTATACAAGGCTGGGGGGTGGGGGGAGGCGGGTAGGGCCAGACGCAGAGAAGGCGCTGCCAGCAGCCAGGGGAAGGAAGGCCCATTCTTGCACAAATCTTTGAGCATCTGGCCTCTAGTATTATATTTAAATAAAATGGTAAGGGGAAACAGACAGAATATTCTTGCATGTAAAAAAATAGTGACCAGCGGCACAGGTGGGTGGGCCCAGTGAGAACCCATGGGGTGTTGACCGTAAGCCAAAAATGCACTGGGGTGGGGGAGGGGAGGAGGCTATACCTGTTAGTGGGATGGGCTGGTGATACCAAGTCTGTGAGGCAGCTGCTCTTGTTAACGCCATTTAACAGATGGGGGCTGAGGCACAGGGAGCCCAGGGAACTTGGCCCAGATCAGCTCCCCAGTAAGCGGAGGAGCTGGGGCTCAGAAATGGAGTTTGGCTCCAGAGGCCTTCTCATGACCCTAACACTGCACCACCCATTCTGAGAGGGGCGAAGGCCTTCCTCCCTGGAGACCTTAGAGACTCAACCCCATGGCAGCCGGGTCGGCACGTTTCCCAAGTGGGCTTCCACAGTGGGTGCGGTCCCGGGATCAGAGCCCCCAGGAAGCGCCCCGATTTCACCCTCTGAGCCACAAGCACCAGAGTTTCTATCTGGCCCCCTCCTGTCGGCATGGGAGACTCAGGAGCAGCGTGGGGCGGGCCCTTCCGCAGCTGCCCCCACGGGGACACCGCAGGCACCTGGGCTGGTGTGACCATCCTGCTGGTCCCTCAGGCTCAGAGAAGGGATGCTCCTCCTGTCAGGCTATCATACCCAGGTTTCTAAGGACGCTCAAAGATCCTGGTGCCACGCAAGGTGCCTGTTTTATTAGCTAGCCCTGGTGCCCTCATCACATAATCAGTGGGGCGTGCACCCTCTCTCTAGCATCAAGCGCGGTCTCAGCACTAGACTGTAATGAGGACGAGTCCTTCCCACCCTGTTCACCACGTGACCTTCAGTCCTCGAAGGTCAGGTTCATGGCCTCACCTTCCAGCTCCCCTGCTCCCTGTCAGCCTCTGCTCCCACTCTCCGGAGCCAGTCCACTGAGGGGCGGCTGGGACTCCTCCTCTCTGAATGTGCTGCCCGCAGGGTCCGCACCGCCCCTCTGGGCTCCTCCCCTGGGATTGCCTGTCTGGGGCGGTCTGTGCCGGTGGCATGGGAAGAAAGGAAAGGGTCACGCTGCCCGGAGCTGCTGGAGCCAGCCACAAACAACCACTGTCCCTCTGTCCTCCGCAGCACTGCTCCTGAGCATCCCTCAGCGCCAGGCAGTGCCAGTGCCGCTCTTTTAACCCCTCGCTTAACCCTGGCAGCATCAGTCCTAGCGTCCCCATGTCACAGATGAGGGAACAGAGGCTCAGAAGTTACACGGAGCGCCTACGGTCGCACAGATGACAAGATGCAGAGCGGTGTCTGGTCATGGGCCCAGCAGACGGAGCGGGAGCACAACTATTCAAGTAGTAGAACCGTTCTGTCAAAATCAAAATTTGAGAAGACTCAGAAGGTCCCAGGGGGAAAGAGTACCGGAGAGTAAAGACCCAGGGACACAGAGGGTCCCAGGGGAGACGAAGGAGGGTCTTTCCAGGGAGGTGAGCAGCTGTGGGGGGCCCAGTCTAGAAAAGGCCCCCACGGACTTGGAGAAGGAATCCCACGCAGGTTTTCCACCTTCATTAACTTTGTGGCTGTCACTGGATTTTCCATTTTAAAAACAGGTTGCAATCTCAGTTCTAACCTTACAGCCGGGGGGGGGGAGGGGGTGTCATAGTCAGAACATTGAGCAGCCTGGACAGCACAGAGAACAGGCCATTGGACAGCACAGAGAACAGCCCATTGGACAGCATAGGTAACAGCCCATTGGACAGCACAGAGAACAGGCCATTGGACAACACAGAGAACAGCCCATTGGACAGCACAGAGAACAGCCCATTGGACAGCACAGAGAACAGCCCCATTGGACAGCACAGATAACAGGCCATTGGACAGCACAGATAACAGGCCATTGGACAGCACAGAGAACAGCCATCAGAACACACCAGGCAGGACCTGCTCCAGCCGCCTGGCCGGCCACGCCCCTCACGCTGCAGGGCAGGCACCTCGACAGTGAAGGGGGACTCGATGGCACATTCCATAGAGAGAGGGATGGGTCCAGAGAAGCCGCAGGTGCAGAGAGGGGGCTAGAGGGAGGGAGGAGGCCAGGTGGCCTGTGGGTGACCCTGCAATGTCTCTCCAATGTGGGCCTCGGACCATCAGGCCGTCCACCCGTTTCGTGGAACTTTACTAAAGGGTAATCCCCGTGCCTTGTCCAAGACGGACAGCATGTCTAGGGGCTAGAATGTGGGTGCTTACTAAGCAACTCCCCCCACCACACACACACGCACACACTCAGCTGTACCGTAGGGTTTGGAAACTAACACCCGCACCCCTTTGGCCCCCTTAATATGACCAAACTAAGGCCCTACCCTGTGGCTTCTTCATCCTCCACTTGCTCTTCCCTGACGGTACCCGCCACCCCGCCGGTCAGGCTAAGGCACTGGCGGGAGCAGAGCAGGAACCAGAGCCGGGAGGTCTGCAGGCCGAGCTGCACCGAGGCTGAGGCCTGGGTGATGATTCCTCAGGGGCCCCGAGCAGGTTTGCAGGCCTCGATCTCTTTGTAAAATGAGAATAATCATCCCAGCTCTCTCTTTTAGCGTCCTTTTAAGAGATAAAAGAGACGGCGTGCGTGAAAGGCTCAGGGCAGTACTTGCTCTACATGCGCTTCTCAGCTTTCTCAGCTGCTGGCCTGCGAAGCTCGGTCACTCCGTCCCCTGACCTGCACCTGAATCCCCGCTGTCGCCGCACATCAGGGACACAGTCTTGGGAGGCCTGTTTCTCCCTCATGCTCAGTGGCCTCCTTTGCCTAAGCCTCGTTATAATTGTTCTCAAGTGGCGTGCACTTTTGCGTACGCACACGTAGGCAAGTCTTATTTTAAGCTGCCCCGTCATGTGTGAAGGGAATACGGCACAAGGGAGAGCATCCAGGGCCTCCGCGAACGAAGAGCCGGCTGCTCATCTCCCAATGGGGGGGGGGGGGGGGACCAAAGTCCCCCCCACGTGCCCCCCGCCTACAGGTCCCCGTCTGCAGCCGGAACCCTCACAGCGGCAGGCACGTGCCCTGCGAGGGGGCAGACGCCCTGCCCAAGCCCGGCCTCAGCGGCGAGGACCGCGGCCTGGGAACATCCTGTCCATGGTTAAGAGCAGCCGCGCGCCCAAATTTAGCTTCAGACAAACTTAGCCTCAGCCTCCTATCAGCACACGGCTGTGTTCTAGCCGAAGGGGGCTCAGGAAGGTCAGGGAGCCCAGGGCTGACTATTGTTGTCTCTAGAACTCCTGAACTTGTGTCTAATCAGCGATCTTGGGGTCACACGGGCTACCACTGCGCCTCTTCCCCACGGCCACACACCACGCGAGCCGCGTCATTCAGACTTACTGCTCATAGCGGGCTATTTGCTTGCAAATACGTGTGTGCGGTTTAGCTGCCACGTGGAAGACAAGGTCGCCTCATCAGCTTTGCATGTTGCGATAGAATGTCAGCGGGAAATAAATGTGTATTTATTGTTGCAAAAGCAAAAATGATCATAATTAGTGCTTGTGGAAATTGCGAATTTCATCCCGAAAACACTTAGCAACGTTTTAAGTAGTTAGAAAGGGAAATAGATGGACAGTGCTGAATACTGTGAGAGCACACCAGCTAGCTGAGTTTAGGATAATAGTGATCAGAGGGTTGGAAATTTCAGAACCTCCCTCTCGCCCCCCCCCACCACCCACGACCTTCAGGGAGAAAGCGGGGCTGAAGATTGAGCTCAGCCACCAGTAGCCAATGACTTAATCAGTTAATCAGTTATGTTACACAATGAAGCCCCCATGAAACCCAGAGGTCGTGGATCGGAGAACCTCTGGGTTGAATTTGGGGGGATGCAGAGGTATCGGTAGGGAAGGTCCTCCCCTTCTCACACACCTGCCCCCCTCCCCCAGTCTCTTCCATCTGGCTGTGCTTGAGTTATATTTTTCTATACTCAACTGGCAATCTAGTAAAAGGCTTCCCAGAGCACTGGGAGCCACTATAGCAAGTGAATCAAGCCCGAGGAGGGGGTTGAGGGAACCTCCCATCTCTAGCCGGTCAGTCAGAAGCGCAGGTGGCAGCCCGGACGTGCCCTTGGGTCCGAGGGGGGGGGCAGTCTTAGAGAACTGAACCCTCGGCCATGGGTCTGATGTGCCTTCTGGTGTCTGGAGCATGGCTAGTCAATGCTGTGGAAACCACACACCCCCACACACGCTGGAGTTGGTACTAGAATGATCTCAACTGAATATCCTTTCTGAACCCACGAAAATGCTGTAGCAATTAAGTAATGCAAGTCAGAATAATGGAGGGTGCCTTGTATCTCATCTTTTGAGAGTTGTTTGCACTCCTGAATTTACAACACCACATAAAACAGCCTATGAGGATTATTACTTAATTTTTTAATAATTGGATTCCACTTAGTCTGTGATTCTTGCTTCTCTATGGGGCTCAGTGGAAATCAAGTCCCCGTTTGGGCTTGCAAATGTGCGGCAAGCAAAAGGGATTACACTTTTTAATCAAATGTCAGGCGTTCTTGTCCTCCAGGGTGCACTCTAGGGTCGAGCTACGTGCCCCGATGAGGGCTTTCCCCGGGTCGGCGTTAGCCCTCGCAGCCTCTCAGCCTGTGGGTGGGCCTGGTGCAGTTCTGGGGTCACAGGAAGCCAGGGGCTCCCCTTCACTTTGGCTGCCCTCCCACCCCCGGCTCCCCCAGGCCTGCTGTGCAGACAGGGGCTGCGAGCAGGGCTTGGAGCTCGGTGCGCTGCAGGAGGCGGACCGGAGCCGGGTGGGGGACCGGTATGTCCGGGGTGTGGTGTCCCCTGGCTTCAGTGCAGCAGGGCCCCGGGGCCACCACATCCCAGAGCGCCACGGCGGGGAGCACAGGGGTCACCTCTCCCTGCTCCTCTCTCTCCTCCCCGGCAGTTCGTGAAGTTTGCCAACATCGAGGAGGACACCCCGTCCTATCACCGGAGCTATGACTTCTTTGTGTCCCGCTTCAGTGAAATGTGCCACTCCAGCCACGATGACCTGGAAATCAAGACCAAGTGAGCAGCCAAGGCGAGGGGGCGTGGAGGGGAGGGGGCGGGGGGGGGCAGGGGGAGGGGTGGGCGTGCGCGGTTGATGGTGGAAGCGTGGACGGGTCTTACAGGTCCCCGGCCCGTGGGTGTCCAATGCCTCTGGGTGTTTGCCTCGCTCAGACGTTCCTGGGGAGGAGAGAGCACCTGGTGGGACATGGGAGGGCAGCGGGCAGTGCTGGGGGACCCGCGCTTTCTGAGGGAACAGCCTCCGGGGCAGGAAACTGGGTGGATGTGAGATAACGGTCCTGGGAGGCCAATTTGAGAGCCAGTGGCAGACATACACCCCCGTGCGCTCTTGTACATCCATTTATGCACTCAGAAATACCCCACTCACCATTCAAACATCCACCCACCAACCCAGAGCCAAGTCCTCCCATTGGCCCATCCCACTGCCCCCGGCTTCTCCTCTCTCCCCCACGCGCTCCCCTCCGGCCACGAGGCCTCCCCTGCCCCAGGGCTTGGCACAGTCTGTCCCTGCCCCGAGTGCTTCCCCTGTGGATCCGCACGGCTCCCTCCACCACGTTCAAGCCTGGGCCCAAAGGTGCCTTTGTCAACGACACCTTCCCCGAACTTCCCTCACCTTCCCCGTCTCCCTCACTGCTCTGCTTTATTCTCCCCCGGTCCTCATCCTCTTCAGACATGTTTCTTCATTTACTCACGGTGTTTCTTATTCACTGTGTGACTCTCCCCGCTAGAATGTAAGCCAGGAGAGCCTGGCAGCCTGGGGCGTCTCCCTCCGGTCCCCCCTCCTCACTCCTAAGTTGCTCAGAGCCCTGCATTTGGCCTCCTAGTTCTTTGCAGCACCGTGAGCTCCTGTATCTTGGGCTCAAGCCGGAACAAACCCAGCTGAGAACAAAAGAGAAGGCACCTGGGTGGTACCCGGGCAAAGGCGGCCGGAGAGCATGGCCTCCTGGGCTGGTGCCCACCAGCGCGAGGAGCCGGCCAGGAGCCCGGGTCCCGGGAAGAGCAGAAGGCTCCATCCTGCCTTTTGGTGGATGAATGCACCCCTAACTCTGCCCTCACACAGAAGCTGTACGTCCCAGGGTTTGAGGGCTCCAGGGCCCCGTCTGACCCTCTTTCTTACAGGATCCGGATGTCCGGCATCAAAGGGCTGCAAGGGGTGGTGAGGAAGACGGTGAACGATGAGCTGCAGGCCAACATCTGGGACCCACAGCACATGGACAAGATTGTCCCGTCGCTGCTCTTCAACCTGCAGCACATCGAAGAGGCCGAGAGGTAAGCAGGCGAGGCTGGAGTTCCGACAGCAGACCGTGAGCCCTCCCAGCTGCTGGGGAGCCGCAGGGCGTTTGGGCTTTGCTAAAACCTAGCTCTGAGTGCAGGGATCTGTGCTCTGTGGCCTGTTCTGCAGCGAGTCCAGGGCCAGCTTTCTGCAGCCCGCTGTGCCCCGTAAGGACTGTGTTTATGAAGGCAGGATGGTAGAGGTGCTGGGCTCCCTAGGGTGCTGGGCTCCCTGGGGTGCTGGGCTCCTTGTTTGGTCAGAACCAAGAACCAAGACTCAGGGACCTCTTCCCTCTGGAAGCGGCAGGCCCAGGAGGTTTTAAAAGGCCTTGTGTGCGCCACTTCCTGAGGACTTTCCCTCCTGTCTTTCCTCCCCCCTCCCACCCCACATCCTAATGGGATTTCAGGCCCTTAGAACAGGCCTGCTTGACCAGACAGTCCCCGACCTGGCATTCATCCTGTCCCACCCCCTCCGCTTCCTCTCTGTGAAGTGGGGCACAGGGGAAGGTTCACGTCCCTGTCCGCCTTGGCTGAGGGTATTGGGTCCCTCACTTTCTGTCTGTTGAGCCTGTGCTGCTAGTCGGGCAGGCAGAGTCAGCGTGCCCTCCGGTGGCTGTGTCTGGAGTCGCACCTCCACTGACAAGATGGGCTTGTGGTCTCAGGACCCGGAGTCCTGGGGATCCTTCTGTCCAGGTTTGACCCACCCTCTGTGCCTTTCTCCCCTCCCCTTCTCCTCTCTCTTCTCCTCGCTCCTGGTTTTCTTTTGCTTTCCGCTGTCCTGCCCACCTCTCTTCATATCACTTATCTTTTTTGCTTCTGAAGCCTCAGGGCATGGAGATCCTCCTGGCCCTGCCTCACCAGGCCCCTGGTGCTCAGGGTGCCTGTCCCTAAGGATTCCCAGGCAAAAGCCTCCTTCCTTCTCCCACCGTCTGCGTCCACTCCGGGTGTCTTTACCCCATATAGCTTCTGAGCCGTGACATCTCCCGTGACCTCCGTCCAATCCCTGCTTATCCTGCTGTGCCACCTCTTGCCCGGATGCAAGCACAACATCCCAGCACACACACAGCACAGCATCCCAGCACACACACAGCACAGCATCCCAGCACACACACAGCACAGCATCCCAGCACACACACAGCACAGCATCCCAGCACACACACAGCACAGCATCCCAGCACACACACAGCACAGCATCCCAGCACACACACAGCACAGCATCCCAGCACACACACAGCACAGCATCCCAGCACACACACAGCACAGCATCCCAGCACACACACAGCCTGGCGCCAGCTTGGCCTTCCACCCTTCACCCACGAGGCTGTGTGTTCCCACAGCCGGTCCCCCTCGCCCCTCCAAGCGCCAGAGAAGGAAAAGGAGAACCCGGCAGAGCTGGCCGAGAGGTGCCTTCGGGAACTGCTGGGCCGGGCTGCCTTTGGCAACATAAAAAACGCCATCAAGCCTGTTCTCATGTGAGTCCTACGGCGCCCCCTCCCCCCACCCTCCCAAGCGAACAGTTTCGGGGTCCGGGCTTCTAAGGAGGCGATACGGTTGTGGTGCTGTGGCCACGTCAGGCCCTTCTCTGTGCCTGTGTCTGCTTCACTGGGACAACGGAAGCCACCACGCAGTGGCCAGGGGCAGTTTTGGGGAGAGGCGTTGGTGGGTGGGGCCCCGAAGCTGAAGGAAGATACCGGTTAACTCCTAAAGCCACGGCTGCAGAGCCCTGTTCCCTGACCCCCTTCCAGCCCTGGGGCTGGGACCGCCCCGGGTCTTCCCTTCTCCCACCCGGAGCTCCGTGAGGGCTGGGCCTCTGGGGGGTCCCTCTCCCCCAGCTCCTCTCTCCTCCTCAGCATCACTCTGCCTGTCACAGCTGTCCCCATGTTTTCTCCCTCGCAGCCACCTGGATAACCATTCTCTGTGGGAACCCAAGGTGTTCGCCATCCGCTGCTTTAAGATCATCATGTATTCCATTCAGGTACGGCTTGGCCCCGGCCCGGGGCCTTCGGGGGCAGGAAGTGCACCTGTAGACAAAGCCAGCTCCCAAACCCGTCCTGCTGAGCCTCGCTGTGGAGAGTGGCCAGTTTAGTTTTAGGTCTAACCCATCCCAGACCAAGGCTTTGTAAAGTACCATTTTTTAAAAATCCATGGAAAATGTAAATGAAAAATCCATGAGAAGTACAAGCCCATTCGCCAGGCTTGGCTGCCATCGCATTGTCCAATGGCTTAGGAAATGCTGGCTTTCCATTTCTGTACTTATCTCAGCATAAACGGGCCCCAGGCAGCCCTAGCCGGTTTGGCTCAGTGGGTACAGCATCGGCCTGCGGACTGAAGGGTCCCAAGTTTGATTCTGGGCAAGAACACATACCCGGGTTGCGGGCTTGATCCCCAGTGTGGGGCGTACAGGAGGAAGCCAGTCAATGATTCTCTCTCATTGATGTTTCTATCTCTCCCTCTCTCTTCCTCTCTGGAATCAATAAAAATAAACGGTCACCAGGCAGATCTGGAATTGTCACCAGGCCACAGGTCACACTTTGAGCTAGGCCATGTGGCCTCCTGTGCCCCTACCAATGAGATGGGGGGGGGGGGTTGAAAAGGAAGACAATGTTCTAAAATGGACTTCTGCCCCATTTGGAGTGAAAGGGCCCAGGAAAAGCATGAACATCCAGGCCTTCCCTGCGTTGGGCATGGCTCCTTGTTGGATCAAGGGGGAGGGGCTCAGGGAAAGGAACCTGTGAGTGTGAGTGTGAGTGTGTGTGTGAGTGTGAGTGTGAGTGTGTGTGTGTGTGTGTGAGTGTGTGTGTGAGTGTGAGTGTGAGTGTGTGTGTGTGTGTGAGTGTGTGTGTGTGTGAGTGTGAATGTGAGTGTGTGAATGTGTGTGTGAGTGTGTGTGTGAGTGTGTGTGTGTGAGTGTGAGTGTGAGTGTGTGTGAGTGTGAGTGTGTGTGTGAGTGTGAGTGTGTGTGTGAGTGTGAGTGTGTGTGTGAGTGTGTGTGTGTGAGTGTGTGTGAGTGTGTGAGTGTGAGTGTGTGTGTGTGTGTGTGTGTGAGTGTGAGTGTGAGTGTGTGTGAGTGTGAGTGTGTGAGTGTGAGTGTGTGTGTGTGTGTGAGTGTGTGTGTGTGAGTGTGTGTGTGTGTGAGTGTGAATGTGAGTGTGTGTGAGTGTGTGTGTGAGTGTGAGTGTGTGTGTGTGAGTGTGAGTGTGAGTGTGTGTGTGAGTGTGTGAGTGTGTGAGTGTGAGTGTGTGTGTGAGTGTGTGAGTGTGTGAGTGTGAGTGTGTGTGTGAGTGTGTGAGTGTGAGTGTGAGTGTGTGTGTGTGTGAGTGTGAGTGTGAGTGTGTGTGTGTGTGTGAGTGTGAGTGTGTGTGAGTGTGAGTGTGAGTGTGTGAGTGTGAGTGTGAGTGTGTGTGTGTGTGAGTGTGTGTGTGAGTGTGTGTGAGTGTGTGTGTGTGAGTGTGTGTGTGAGTGTGTGAGTGTGAGTGTGAGTGTGTGTGTGTGTGTGAGTGTGAGTGTGAGTGTGTGTGAGTGTGAGTGTGAGTGTGTGAGTGTGAGTGTGAGTGTGTGTGTGTGTGAGTGTGAGTGTGAGTGTGTGTGTGTGAGTGTGTGTGAGTGTGTGAGTGTGAGTGTGAGTGTGTGTGTGTGTGTGTGAGTGTGTGTGTGTGTGTGTGTGTGAGTATGAGTGTGAGTGTGTGTGTGTGAGTGTGAGTGTGAGTGTGTGTGTGTGTGTGTGTGTGTGAGTGTGTGTGTGAGTGTGAGTGTGAGTGTGAGTGTGTGTGTGAGTGTGTGTCCCGCCTTTGGGGCCCAGTGCGGGGCTGCCCCGGCTCAGCGGCCACAGGGTCTGTTGGGGACCAGCCCGTCTTCCTCCCCCCAGCCGCAGCACTCCCACCTGGTTATCCAGCAGCTCCTGGGCCACCTGGATGCCAACAGCCGCAGCGCGGCCACCGTGCGGGCGGGCATCGTGGAGGTGCTGTCGGAGGCCGCCGTCATCGCCGCCACGGGCTCCGTGGGTAAGGCGGCCCGGAGGGGAGCGGGGGTGGGGATCCCCTCCAGGACCAAGAACTGCCCTTAGCGGGAGCTGCCCCTTCCAGGAAAGGGCAAGGCGCCCGGGGAGGTGTCAGAGCGGGAGGCTGGGGCAGAGGACGCCCCTGGCTGCAGGGGCAACGCAAGGGAGGAGGAAGGGGGCCCGCCCTGAATGCTGGGGTCCCACCCCGGCGCAGGGCCCACGGTGCTGGAGATGTTCAACACCCTCCTGAGGCAGCTGCGGCTCAGCATCGACTACGCCCTGACCGGGAGCTACGACGGGGCCATCTCCCTGGGCCCCAAGATCATCAAGGAGCAGGAGGAGCGCATGTTCCAGGAGGCCGTCATCAAGACCACAGGTGTGGCCCAGAGGGGCGTGGTCGGTGGGGGCGTGGTCGTGGTGGGGCGTGGCCGGGAGGGCGTGGCCAGAGATGGCACTCATGGGGCCTTGGGTCCATGGCATTGCAGAGCTGTCATCCCTTTCAGAAAGGGTAAGGCACCTCCGGGAGGTGTCAGAGCCTGTGTTCCCTCGGGCACCCAGCAGAGCAGCTGGTGGCAGAGCCTAGGTGGGCACCCGGGGCTGCTGCCCTGGCCCAGCGTCCAGGTTCTCCATCCCAGACACCTTAGCCTCCGGCTCTGGATTAAGCGGAGGAACTGGAGCCTGGACGAGTCCTCTGGAATTATCTAGGTTTCTTCTCTGGGTTTGAATCGTCGTGTCCCTCCCCCCGCCCCTCCCTCCCCCCCCAAGAGAAGCAGCAGAAAGGCTGAGCTGAGAGGCCCCGGCAGCTGCTGGCCTCACGGGGCCGACCCTCTGCTCCACCACCTCTCCCCCGCAGGCTCCTTTGCCAGCACGCTGCCCACGTATCAGCGCTCGGAGGTGATCCTCTTCATCATGAGCAAGGTCCCGCTGCCCTCTCTGCATCACCCCGTGGAGATGGGGAGGACCGGGTAGGTCCACCACATACACCCTCCTCCCGCGCTCTCCTTCCTGATTTCGCCCTCGCGTCTCTCATTCTGCTCTCAGACCCCTCCGGAGCCTTTAGGGGGGCCCCTGGGTCCCACAGCAGTTACTCAGGCTGCCACCCTCCCTCCCCAGTAACTGCCTCACGCCTTGTGGGGAGCCATTCACTCCCCGTCTGCTTCCTGGCTCTGAAGTCACCAGCCTGGGTAACTCAGCACATAAGCCTCTTGGAGAATCTAATCATGAGGGAGAGGGAGAATATGCAGGCACGTGTGGGGTCCTCACCCAGATCACAGCCTGGTGAGCGTGTGTGTGTCTGCTCCACAGGGAGAACCGGAACCGGCTGACCCAGATCATGCTGCTGAAATCCCTCCTTCAGGTGAGCCTCTGCGGCCCCTTCCTGCTCGGCCTCTGCGGGAGGCAGCGCCTTCCCAGGCCCAGGGTCGGCTCCAGATGTGCAGGCTGCAGGTGCAAACATGTCTGTGCGAAGGGCTGAGGGGCCTGCCGCCAGCCCGTGTCCCTCTCACCAGCCTGCTGGGCGCACACAGAGCTGGGCCGTCCGAGCAGGCATGCGGTGTCTAATTTTCACGCAGGTTCCTCATCAGCTACTGATAGCACTGCCGCTCCACATGGTCTTCGTACTGAGATGGAATCTGCTGGTTCCCGCCCCTTCCCCCTTCAATGACCTGCTCAGGTCCTTCCCCACAGTTCCCTCCTGGGTTTCCCCTCAGTCTCCCAGACACAGGCTTTTTGTTTGTTTGTTTGCTTGCTTGCTATATATTCCTCTTTTTGCACCTTTGCAGCCATCACTGGGTCTAGAGACTCATTGTTCTCAAACATTGTTCCCATGGCCAACTTGTTGAACGGTAGAGATTCTGTAAAGATTCTGAGCCATCAGACTGCGTTGGGTCCTGACTCTGTGTCTGTAACAGTCTCCCCAGTTATCCTCGTGCACAGCCCTGGCCTAAACTCCAGACATCTCACAACTGCACGATTCTCCCAGTTGCTTTATTTCCATCTCTCCTCACCTCTCATAAACACAACCACTAGAATCTTCTGGAAATGCTGTTCCCCACATGTTGCCTCTTGTTACAGTGTAGGTCTCAGTTTCCAGTTGAGGTACGTCTAGATTTCACACAGGCATACCTTGGAGGTATTGCGGGTTCGGTTCCAGACCACGGCACTAAAGCTCTGGGGCTGTCCATTCTCCTAGTAAGCCTTGTATTCACGGTGAATTTCAACATGAGTTCCGAGCTCCCTGACTCCTGCTCCCCTTAGTGCTCATCCCTTGCTTGCTTTTAATCACTTAAAGTTCCTGCACACGGTCCCCATCCAACCACATGTCTGCTGAGCTGAGCTGAGGAGGTTGTCTCGGATGTTGGTTTGTTCAAAAAAGTTGCCTAAGGCACCCAAGGTCCAGGGTGGTCTGGATTGGGGGACCTGGCCTGGGAGATGCCTGGAGAGGGTGAATGCTGCAGACCCACCCTTTGCTGGCCGCTCCTCGCCTCCTCACTGTACCTGAGAGGGCCAGCGTCCCTAAGCACGGCCGCCCTGGGCTCCCTTGCAGGTGTCCCTAGGTTTCCAGTGCAGCAATATGATGTCAGCCCTGCCCAGCAACTTTCTTGACCGCCTTCTGTCCACCGCCCTCATGGATGACCCAGAGATCCGTCTCTTCGTTCTAGAGATTCTCATCAGTTTTATTGATCGTCATGGCAACCGCCCCAAGTTCTCTTCCATCAGGTGAACTTGGGGCCTCCTCCCCTGTTGCTATGTGATGGGAGAAGACTCCTGATAGGGCCACACATGCAGATAGGAAGACAGCTCAGAGACTCAGCGAGACCCACCAGAGAACCGATCACAGACATTGACCCTGGGGCCCCATGAGGGGAAGAGTGACCGAAAGAACACTTGATTTGGGGGAGATAGGGGATGGATTGGAGATTTGGGAGATAAATAGCACCTACTAAAGGGAGCTTTCAGATGGGGAGGAAAAGAATAATCTAGGTCAATATTTAAGAAAAGGGGCCCTAGCCGGTTTGGCTCAGTGGATAGAGCGTTGGCCTGGGAACTGAAAGGTCCCAGGTTTGATTCCAGTCAAGGGCACATGCCTGGGGTATGGGCTTGATCTTCAGTGGGGGACTTCCAGGAGGTAGCTGAACCATGATTCTCAATTATCATGCATGTTTCTATCTCTCTCTCCCTCTTCCTTCCTCTCTGAAATCAATAAAAATCTAAAAAAAAAAAAAAAATTTTTTTAAAAGAAAAGGGGACAGGAACTAGAGAACATGGTAGAAAGCAGAGAATGGTTAGGACCAGGGCTAGTACAACTCATGACATCGGATGAAGCCCAGTGACACCACATGAGCTCTGACTGGCCTCACACATGAGCTAAGGTGGCCCCTCCTGTCCCCTTCCAGTACCCTCAGTGACATCTGTGTCCTGAAGCTGAAAGTGGATAAGTGCTCCCGACAGGACACCGTCTTCATGAAGAAGGTTAGCACATGTTACCTCAAGATACCGTGAACCCCCAGCAGGCCAGGCCCTGGGACCCTGGCCTCCAGTCCCCCAGTCGCTGCTGACTCCTGCTCCCGGAGCGGCCTCCTCCCTCTCTGTGCAGGCAGGAGAGCAGCCAACTCTCGGGGGGTCAAGCCCCTCGGGCCTTACTCATCACAAGGCCAGAATGAGGACCAGGCCAGTGGCTGTGTTCTGCTCCTGAAACAATTTGGGCGGCAGCTGTTGTTGCTGGTTTGACCGGACCCAGCCTTCCCTAAACACGCACTCCTGCACGTGTTCACGTGCACCGGGCGTCCTCTCCCTGGGGGTGGAAGTGGGGCAGACACAGCTTTCCCACTTTCTTCAGATTAGTTTTTCTATTCTTGCTCCTCCTGCCCCGGCCTGCCACGGTGGCCTTGCCCACACCCCATCCCCATCTCCAGCACTCCCAGCAGCTCTACAGACACATCTACCTGAGCTGTAAGGAGGAAACGAACACACAGCAGCACTACGAGGCAATCTACGGCTTGCTGGCGCTCATCAGCATCGAGCTGGCCAACGAGGAGGTGGTGGTAGACCTCATCCGCCTGGTGCTGGCTATTCAGGTGGGACATGGGGGTCGGGATGGGGGGGGGCAGTTGGGGGCAGGAGGATCTGTTGTGATCAAGCACTGATTAGAGTGGTGGGTAGCAACTACTTAGCAATTGTTTTAGAGCTGGGAATACTGTGCTGGTTGGCCATTCCTCCATGAAGACCACCAGCCGTAGCCCTGTAGGTGAACCATGAAGAATGTGTACCCCATGGCTTCGGCCCATTCTCAGGCTAAAGGAGACCCAGGGAACAGGGTCATTAGCCCTCAGCATTTCAAGCCTCTTGAAGAGTCTGAATGGGACTCCAAGGATTGCCAAGGGGGTGCTTGTAAGCCCTGAGTGATTCCAAAGCAAATCATCTGGTCCCCAAATTTGCTTCTGAATCGCCGCAAGCATTTATGAAAAATACGTGCTTTCAGTTCTGTCCTGAGCCTGGGGGCTGGTGGATTCAATAGGCCTCCTTGTGACTCTTCGGCAGGCAGCGTGACACTACATAGGGCTTTAGACTTTCCAGGTCTGCCTGGGTGGAAGTACACTCTAGGTACTAGGATATGCCCTTCAAATCTCAAAGATCAGTGGTCGGCAAACTCATTAGTCATCAGAGCCAAATATCAACAGTACGACGATTGAAATTTCTTTTGAGAGCCAAATTTTTTAAACTTAAACTATATAGGTAGGTACATTGCTATTAACTTAATTAGGGTACTCCCAAGCTGGCCCTTGCTAAAAACTCAAGGGGCCAAAGAGCCGCATGTGGCTTGAGAGCCTCAGTTTTCCGTCCACTGTCAAAGATAAGGGTCTCCAGGGGCCTGAAGCTAGGAGGGCGAGCCTAGAAATTCAGTGGTGGCCAATCTTGGCCACCTGCTTGAAAACCCTGCAAGGCCAACCTAGATGCTATGATTGTCTTCCTTCCGGAATTTGAGATTCTTTTGTATCCCAATGCCCTGGTACAAGCATGTCAAACTCGTGGCCCACAGGCCGCATGCCTCCTTTATTTGGCCCGTGTTAGCCTTTGAGTTTGACAAGCTTGCCCTAATAACTCCCACAACTTTCCCAATTTAACATGTGAACCCAATGTAGCAAGCCATTCCTGTCCTCCAAGCACCAGGCAAGGTCTTTGCTGAAGGAAGCAGCGTCCAAGAGGTGGGCTTAATGGTGAGGGTTTGGACAGTCAAAGTCACGAAAGCTGGAACTGCCACGTGGGGGTTGAGGTCATCGCCTCTCATGGATTGTTCTAGGGAGCATTCACTTCGGCTGTCATAAGGATGGCTCCTGACTGCCAGGGAATGATGAGGCAGATGCTGAAAGAAGCTCAGTCTAGAGCAGGGAGCCATCTCCCTATGGCTGTGGGGAGGTTGGGCAGAAGGTGGGGCACCAGCATAGTTTGTCAGTTAAAAGCTGCAAACGCCCCTCGGTGTCGCCACAGGACTTGGCCCAGGTCAACGAAGAGAACCTGCCCGTGTACAACCGCTGCTCCCTCTACGCACTGTGCGCAGCCTACCTGAACCTCATCAGCCAGCTGACCACAGTGCCTGCCTTCTGCCAGCACATCCATGAGGTTGGTGTCCTCATGGCCCTGAGGTGTCCTTGTGACTGCGAGAACTCAGGAAGCCTCAACTTGGGGTTTCCCCAGAACTTTTCCTTAATTGCATGAGCCCTGTGCTTAGTCATCCTCTTCATTAAAAATAGCAGCATCTTTGCTTACTCGCCTCCCCCACACACTTACTCACCTCCCCCTGCCAACTATCCTCCCACTTCTCACCATCTTAATAGCTTTCACCTTCCTTGTCAAAAATCTGCAAAGGATACCGAGGGAGACTCAATGTGTTTGCAATGCACCAGGGCTTGGGAACGGCGTGACCTATGCTTGGTTTTCCAGTTTTAAGGAGAAACCAGGAACAGGTCACAGAAGCAAGGAAGAACAGTTTCTTGGGAGCTAAGTCCCCGGCATTCGGAGGACACTTAATGCATATGTATCAGGGGGCAGAGCTTGAGTACACCGCCCGGCTGCTCCGAGGGTCTCTGTGGTCTGAGTTTCTCTGTCAGAAGCCGTTGTAGGGCGCTCTGCCACCAATTTGCAGGAGGGAGGAAACACTGAGTGGGCGGGAGCTCTGTCATTGGCTTGTGCGGAGCTCCCTCTCCCTGCAGCACCAGGCTCTGACCTTGTGATTCCTCCCAAACTCCAGGTGATAGAGACCAGGAAGAAAGAGGCTCCGTACATGCTGCCTGAGGATGTGTTTGTGGAGAAGCCCAGGTGAGGAGGGTACATGGTCCAGGAAGTCAAAGGCAGCTGGGTAAGAAGGTGGCTGTCAGGGGCAGGGGCTGAGGCCTCTATGGGCTCTAGGGCTGAAAGTAGAACCTGCCCGTGGCCCATAGGTCCCGGGTCAAGTTTGACAGGCATGTGACTATAATAGACACCTTGAGTCAACTTGATGTGTTGTACCATAGACCACGCCTATGGGGGAGGAATCCTGGAGCAATTGTTCCAGAGAAGACACTGCCATCAATCCAAGTGGCATTGTCAGACTTCAGCATCAGAGGAACGCAAGGAAAGGATATTCTGGGAGGAAACGGGGAGAATGTCCAATACCAGGGATGGCTTTATCAATTGTGGCCATCCACACAGCAGATGACTGCTAGCCCATTTGCAGTGGTTTCAAAGAATAGCTAATGTAATATATTCGCTATAGAAGAGGTACATGAAATAGATTACAGAACAGGAATGGGGGTGTGTATGTTGTGTGTGTTGTGTGAGGGGGAGGAGGAGGTGGTGGGTGTACATGTATGTGACCGAAGGATTCTGCTCACTGAAGGTTAGTGGGACAATGGGTGATTTTTCCCCCATTTGCATCTCTGTCAATGAATGTTGCCTTTATAATAAGCTATTAGGAAATCATCCTTGTTACCCACGGCTCTCGTCTCTTCCCTCCCTTGTTGTCCAGGCTGTCTCAGGATCTTGATGGAGTGGTGATTGAGTTCCTCTTCCTCCAGAGCAAGATCAGTGAAGTCCTGGGGGGCAGTGGCTACAATTCAGACAGGCTCTCCCTGCCCTACATCCCTCAGCTGACAGGTATGAGCTCTGCTCGAGGACTCCCAGGCCTGCCTCTGGCTGGTCATGGCCAGGTAAGGGCCTGAGTGTAAAGGACTTCCGTCGCCTTCCATGGCACCGTGGATGTCACACAAGAGCTGAAAGGCACCGTGGAGATCTATGGTGAGATCCTCTGGATTTCCCCACCTCTCCTCCTCAGGGCAGGGTCCTTAGAAGTAGCTGGCCCACAAGATAGCCTGGCTTGTGGATGGGAGAGGCCCCACACATGGGCTACAGAGACCCAGTTCTCTGTCACCGACTTCCATTTCCTTGACTCTAAAATAGGCATATTAATAATACTTGCCTTAGAGGGTTGGTGTGAAAAGTACATAAAATAATGAAGGCATATGCGCGTAGCAAATGCTACACAAATGACAGCCATTAGTGCTATGAGCAGATGATGCTTGCACAAGTTGAGATATGCTTTCTGGTCATAAGAAGCTTCTTTGTGCTCATCAAGGATTTCAAAATCTTAGTCCTGAAGATTAGAACTCACCATCCTAAAATGGGCAGAGAAGGCTCAGCTGTAAAATCCAGCTGTAGACTCCACGTGCCCTGAGCCCTCAGAGGACGTGGGTCAGGCAAAGCAGAAGGCGTGGGAGATGATGCCAGGGGCGTGATCCTGGCTCGCTCCCCGACGGCTAGGAATCTAGCTTCTGGCTTCTCCTTTTCCCAGATGAGGATCGCTTGTCCAAGAGGAAGAGCATTGGAGAAACCATTTCCCTGCAGGTGGAGGTGGAATCTAGGAACAGCCCCGAGAGGGAGGAGGTGAGTGTCTCCCCCATACACTGTCCTGGGGAAGCCCAGCATCCCCGGGGGAGGGCACCTGATCCCGCCTTCTATGCTGTCAAACACTCCATGTTCCAAGCTCCCCTAAAACTGCACAACACAGTTATGATTGCACAGAAAGTAAATTTCTCAGGGAAGTCCATAGACTTCCTACTCTCATCCCATAGGCCACAGACATTTCCATCTGGAGAAAATGATCTGTATCCACCTTCCTCTCTACTGCACTCCCACGAGGATGTCCTAAAAATCGCTCTTGAAAGGCTTGTTGGTTGTCATTTCCATCCACGGTGGAGACAAACAAGCTCCACACTGGAAATCGGAAGGCTCAATAGGAGAGATGAGAGTGAGACGCACCCATTACGGTGCTCTTTTAAAGAGAAGGCTCGGCTGAAAGACCTCCCTCCCATCTTTCCTTGAGGGCTGTGAGTGTCTAGTCTCTGTACAACGGCATGTGTGCTATCCCCTCTGCCATATCTTCTACCTCAGAAAATAAAGCAGATGTGCCCACGAGAAAGGGAGAATAAAAGGAATTATAGTGGAAAAACCAAATTTACTTCTCAAACGGGAAAGACATGGGGAGGGGACTTGGAGGAGGGAGAGAGAGTGAGGATTTGGACAGGAAGACTTGCGGAGTTGGGGCAGGGACAGTTTCTACCCATTAGGGCTGGTGTGGCCACGGGGGACAGCATGGACACTTAGTCTTTCCCCAAGGAGCAAGGGGAAGTCACTGGGGTCAAGATCAAGCCTCCCTGTCACCATGCGCTCAACCTTCAGTTACTGGGGAAGACCTCCAGTCCCGGCTTTTCAGAGCTTATCTAGAACCTTCCCCTGGAAGGAAAGAGGCCAACTGGAGAAGTGAAATGAGGTTGAACCAGGCCCTTCCAGCTCTATAAGACCGGGAATCTCAGAAACGTTAGAACCGCAGCATGAGTTGATGCTACTCCCCGCCCTCATCCCATAAGTCCTCAAACATGTTATTCAGTTCTTGAAATTGACATTTAAGATTATACGGCCATCTGCAGTTATCATCTCCTCTGCCAATATTTTCTGTTCTGTCTCTGAAGATTTTTTTATTAGTAGTACACAGTGTTTTCTTCCCACTGGGCCTAATGGGACAAGTCGGGGGTGGAGGGGGAGAGTGGGTTCTTTCAGTGGAGACTCTAATGAGGAATTAGCCTCCCCACCCTCATGTCACTACGCCTGGAGAGCTTCCGGAGACCCTGGTGAGAAGGTGAGTGTGCTGAGGGAGTTTCTGCTCATTGGGACAGTCTTGAGAAGGGAAGGGGCCGCCAGGTAACTAAGGAAGCCAAGGCTGCCTCCTCCGATCCCTCCCCCGCTCCACCTTTGTACACTTGTCCCCTCTCCCGCAGCGAGTACCAGCAGAAGAGATCACCTATGAGACGCTAAAGAAGGCCATTGGTAAGTGGGAGGCTCCCAGCGAGTGGATGGGAAGGGAGGGCAGAGCTGGGTCTTGGATGCAAGCGAGTGGGTGTGTGCAGCCCCATCTGCTGTCCTCCCGAGGATGATGCAGCACAGACTTGAGGGCAGACATTGTGGCTAACTCATCCCAACTGCCAAAGCCGCAGTGGGAAGCCCTGCTCTCGTGAGGGATCAGTAGGGTGGCCCTGTGTGTCTTAGGTCAGACAACCCTTTTTCCTCTCACTGCTGCCTTCAAGGTAAACCCACTGAGGGTTACAGACAGTCAGGTAAAAAGCAGTTGCGTATAAAGACTTTGACTGTTTTTGGTTAGAATGTGATACAGAAGAACAAGTTGACCAATAAAATATATTAATCATATTAATATTTATTTAATAATGGAAACAGATTTCTAAAATATTTTTATTGATTTCAGAGAGGAAGGGAGAGATAGAAACATCAATGATGAGAGAGAATAATTGATCGGCTGCCTTCTGCATGCCCCCTACTGCAGATCGAGCCTGCAACCCAGGCATGTGCCCTGACGAGGGAATTGAACTGTGACTTTCTGGTTCATGGGTCCACGCTCAACCACTGGGCGACACCAGCAGGCGGCAATAGATTTTAAAATGTAGTATTATGTTTTCTGTCTGAAGTACTCCAAATGAATTTTTCTGAATGCCGATGACAAATTATGTCTTCAAATGCCAGACTTTTTTTTATATTTTTGTTGTCATTAACGGTACTCCTGAACGTACACACTCTCTGCCTTCTTACACAGCAAATGATGGGCATATTGAGATCCCTCCCCTTTTTTCTCTTAACTCATTTTGGATACCAAGAGGAATATGTAGACACGCAAATAGCTTCATACCGCTCTGCCATGGGGGTTCTGGGCTGGCTTTTGTGGTCTGTCTGGCCTTTCCATTGTTGCTGTCCCTTTTCAAACCCCCCTTAGAGCATAGCATTTCCTACTCCAGGAACTTCCCGTTAAGAGTCCTGGTGGCAGCCCAGCTTCAGGGTCTGCTCAGCTGGTTCTCCAACCCTTACGCAAGGAAGGTCGCTGAGCCCTCCGGAAAGGTCTAGACCTGCTGGGGCCACGTGATGGCACCACACCGTCCAGGGCCCCGCACCCAGCGCACCAGCTGAGGGGGAGCCGGAGCTGCGGGCACAGACAGAGCTCCCGGGAGGAGCCTGCCCAGCTCCATGTCGGGGGGGCAGGCCGTGCGGGCTGACCGCACTCTGTGCTGCAGTGGACAGTGTGGCGGTGGAGGAGCAGGAGCGCGAACGGAGGCGGCAGGTGGTGGAGAAGTTCCAGAAGGCGCCCTTCGAGGAGATCGCAGCCCACTGTGGCGCCCGGGTGAGTGAGCACACAGGGCCGAGCCCTCAGGGCCAGAGGGTCCAGGGCAGGACGGAGTTGCTAGATCTTGGCACTTCAGTCATCCAGAAATTAGATGCCAGCAGTACCCTGGCCCTACACTGTTTCCCCATGAACCTAAAGACTCGGCTATTGGCCATACCGGCCTCCAGACCTCGCACGTTTCACGTAAGAAAGAAGTCCTGACCTCAGGAGCTCCCGCATCAGACAGACAGGCTACAACAATTATCACCTTAATGGCAAGTGTGTACATAGCACTCTCTCTGCGAGATGCGCCAGAACATCTCACACCTGTTAGTGCATTTCATTCTCATGCCTACTCTGCGAGTTGGTGCCAGTATGACCGTCACATGACGGAGCGTTGGGGAAGGAGCCCATGGGGGAGGAAAGATGGCCAGTGTTTGCGACGGGACCCTGCAGGCAGGGGCGGGGGGGGAGTGAACGGGCCCCAGACAAGGGGAAAGAAGGGCACAAACACTTCTTGAGATTGATTTACCTCATACTTTATTGTACTTTTTCCTCTCAATAAAAACGTGTCTTTTTATCATGTAATATAATATGCATGTATGTATTTCCAATGCTTGTGATAACTATACATAATAATATATAAGTACATGTAAGTATAATGTCGTTTGGGGGGAGGGGGGCTATATTATCCTGACCTCTTGTCCCATTTCATGAGCTCGGAGTTGGGGCCCAGGTACAGAACGCGTGCACAGCTCCCTCACGCAATCAGAGCCGGAAGGGACTAGAGGGCACGCCTTCCCTAAACCCCAATTATGCACACCTGCTCCTTTGGAGTTAAGAGCTGGAACCAGCTCTGGGCCTCCTGACTCCATGCCCAGCAGGTGCTCCCGTCACACGTGGAGGAGCTAACAGTCCTTCAGGAACCGCCTGCTGAAGTCGTCCTGGTGCTCCCGGTCTCTGTGCTGCCCCAGCAGGCCGTGGCCGGCGGCTCTGCCTGACCTGAACCCGCAGCCGGGGTCCACCGCCCCCTCCTTAGGCCACACTGCCCGGATCTCCAGTGCGTGCTCCGGGCAGGTGGGCTCAGGACCGCCCGCAGTGGTCGGGGCGGGAACCCCCGCTGACTCTCCCTCCGTTTGTGTTTAGGCGTCCCTGCTGCAGAGCAAACTCAACCAGATCTTCGAAATCACCATCCGGTACGTGGCAGCCCGGCCCGGGGACCCCTACCTCTGTGGCCCAGCGTGGGCGCCCTCCTCCCGAGTCTTCCTCTCACTGTCTTCAGCCCCCTTCTCCCAGCCTCTGTCTCCAGGGCTGGGGTCAGCCACCAACTCTCCCCAAAAAGGAAGTTGAGACTAGAGAGGAAAAAAGACGGCTCAGTGAACCCTGGGAAAGAGCCAGGGTCCTTGTTTCCCAGGCTGAGACTTTACTTTCTAAAGCAACATTGTCACTGTAGAGCCTGCGTGGAGCTGTAGATTCTAGAACAGTGGCCGGCAAACTGTGGCTCTCGAGCCACATGTGGCTCTTTGGCCCCTTGAGTTTTTAGCAAAGGCCAGCTTAGCAGTACCCTAATTGAGTTAGTAACAATGTACCTACCTATATAGTTTAAGTTTTAAAAATTTGGCTCTTAAAATAAATTTTATTCATTGCACTGTTGATATTTGGCTCTGTTGACTAATGGGTTTGCCGACCACTGTTCTGGAACATCTTGAAATCTGGGAACCCAGTGACAAAAGCTCTGGTCCCTGTTCAAGGAGAAAGACAAACCTGCTGCTCTATTTGGTTGCACGGGGTGGGCCCGCTCCTCATCCCTCTCTCCTCCGTGTGCTCCTGCCCAGGCCCCCGCCCAGCCCGTCAGGAACCATCACTGCAGCCTACGGCCAGCCTCAGAACCACTCCATCCCCGTCTACGAGATGAAGTTTCCAGACCTGTGTGTGTACTGAGTTCCAAGAGGCGGAGCTACTTGGAGGGGTGGAGCTGCTCGCCCTCACACTCCACCCCTACCATGTGCAAGTCCAACAGGGATCTCAGCAAAGGTCACCTTCCCAGCTAGGCAAGGTAGAGCCCCAGACCCTCCCCGCTTCCCCTGTGTCTCCCCTGAGGGGTTGGCTACCTGCCCCTCTAGGACCAATAAGCCTCTCAACTGTACCCTTTAGTCTCCTTTGTGTCAGCAAGGTGCCAAGAATGGTGGGGGCGGGGGCGCTGAGGTCCTGCAGCTCCTGGTGGTGTGGAGGTGCAGCAAGTATAAGGCTTTGATGCTGGGGGTGGGAGAGGGCACAGCTGCCATCCCCCCAGGAAGGGACTGGATGGAGGGTCAAAGGACCCTGTAGACAGCAATCTAGAGAAAGCCCCAGGAAGAGCTGGAAGCTGGGGGACATTCTCCTCAGAGCATCCCTACTAGAGGACCCCAGCTCTGTCCCAAGGCCCTCAGGTCTCCTGTGGCTCTTCCACTCCCCCCCCTCACCCTGCCAGCTTCTCTTAGTGACTGAGGGGAGTGGAGGGTTGGGAGCGGGGGGAGAGGGGGAGAGAGCGGCACTAGGAAGGGATGGAGGTGGTGGAACGAGCACTTTGGGACTCAAAGATGTCAGAAATCCACAAGTTGTGGGTGTTTCGTTGAGGAAAGAAGGACCCAGCACCTGATACTGGAATGACTTTTTTCACTCTTTGACAAAGTCCGGACCTCAGTTACACCTGGCCAAGCTTGAGCTTGGGGAGAGCGGTGGGGACCCCTTTGGGTTCTGCATTTCCCAGGAGTCTGGCCAGCCAGTCTGTGTGCGGAAGAGGGGCCAGGAGTCTGTTTGCTGGGCACTCCCTTCCCCTTTCTCACCCCTGTCCCTGCTGCCTCTGGCAGGGCCTCCCTGGGCCGCCTCCTGGGCCTCCGGTGCCAGCGCCCTAGGGCCCCAAATAGTTCTTCTCTAGCAGTGGCAAGTCCCACAGCTGTTCTGAGCTGGTGTAACTCACAGTAAGGTGTAAATGGCCAAATGATTCTTCCCTGAGATTTTTGTTGTTTTTTTTTCTAAGAGAGAGGGTGAATAGATTCCTGGATCCAAAGAAATCCCTTTTAGGATACAATTTTAGGCAGTGTGGGGTGGGGTCAGAAGCTGGCACTCTGGGGTCATACCCCTGCATGACCCTGCACAGGTGCAGTGAGAGCCTGATGATCAGTCCAGGTGTATTTCCTCAAATTGGGAGAATCTTAACAAATGCATTTCCCATTGCTGTGCAGCTCTCTCTGGGAGGGGCCTTCTGACCCTCTTCTTGTCATTTCCCCCTTGGGCGCTGCCTCTGTGATAGGGGCCTGCAGCTTCCAGGTGACCTGCGTAGCTTCTGGCTAATGCTCAATCCAACCTTACACGCATAGTCTGAGATTTCTCCTCACGTTAATATCTCCTCATGAAGAAGCCCCGTTTCAGATAACTTGAAACAAACTTGAAGGCAAATAACTTTGGGGAGAAAGTTCACAGGAAATCTAAATCTTTGTTTTTAATATGCATTTTTATTGATTTCAGGGAAGAAGGGAGAGATAGAAACATCAAGGATGAGAGAGAATCATTGGTCAGCTGCCTCCTGCACGCCCCCCGCTAGGGGGCTGAGCCTGCCACCAGCGTGTGCCCTAACTGGGAATCACACTGTGACCTCTTGGTTCCTGGGTTGACGTTCCACCACTGAGCCGCATCGCCGGGCAGGAAATCTAAATCTGGCGCCACAAACCTGTCTTCCCTGCTCGGCTTTGACGAGGAACTCTGTTTCTTTCTTGTGCCTCCTTGACTTTAGGGTCCATCCCCAGGGTAACTGCCCTTGGGACCCTGGATGAGGCCCTGGAGCCTCTTCTAGAGCTAGCACTAGGACCAGAGACCTGCAGGTCCCCTCAGATGTCCCCTGTCCCTCCCTACCCCCCACCCCGGGAACAGGGTGCAGAAAAAGGTGCAAGGTTCCCATTCTTGACACACTCAGCTGCTCCTTCCTCCTCTCTGTCCGAAGCAGCCTTTTCTTTCCATCACGGCTGCATAGCCAAGATATGATTTAGAGAACTGAGTGCTATCTTCCCAGATTCAGTTTCAGCTCACACTCAGTAGGATATCAGGTTGCCTGCTGCCTGGAGGTAGAACCTGGATTCTGGCCCACTATTCCCCAGAATCAGAAAGTTTAAGGTGAGTGCTGACTCAGACAGACAATGAAATGATAAATGAAGCAGTTCTCCTTCACCCCTACCCACGTGCCCCTCCCTGGGAATGGATGCCAAGCAGTTTGGTGGGCACCTAGACCACTGCTTCCTGCCTTCCGAGCCCTGTAGCATCTGACAGCATGGTGTCTTGTGACTAACCCTTTCTGCTACCCTTGTCTACTGTGGTTTTGAGCCAGCTGCTGCTCAAAGCCACTGAGGACTCTTGTCTCATGGGCAAGGGGTCAGTTTGGTTTGCACTCTGCAGACATAATTTAATGGGTGTGAATATAGTTGGCATTTGAAAGTTCTGTTCGTTTAGTTGAGTCACATCCGGACATGAACAGCAGGTCAGCAGGAAGCACCAATGAGATCCTGGAGGCTCCTCCTGTCTTCATTGCAGTGGGGTCCCCAGCAACTGTCTTCATTTTCCTTCCCCGAAAGAAGAAATAAGTGTGGTTTTTTTTTTACTCCTAACTGCCTCTCTCCCGAGCAGGAACCCAAGCAGGGAAGAAGCAGCACTAGAAAAGTCCCAGATACTCCTCTCTGCAGCTCTCCACCTCAGACACATGTAGAAACAGATGAGCAGTGAGAAGGTGGGGCGGGGACTGACTAAAGTGCTTGGAGAAGCATGACGTCACATATGCACTGCCCTTTGCACTCGATGGTCTGGGTCCCAGAGAATATGTTTCAACTGGCTTAAAACTAGAACAGCCTTTCAATGGCTCAAAGGCCAGGCCTCTGGGCTTCCCTGGGGGCCTCTGGATCATGACACCTTCCAGTTGCTATTGCACTGTCCCCAGTCCTGACCTGGGTACAGAGTGTCATTGAGAAGTGAGGCTGTTTCTCCCAATTCCTATTCAGAACCATAATGGCATTACCCTGGTGGTGCCCGTGGGAAAGGACGAGACCTAAGCTGTTACCTGAATATTAAGATTGAAGGTCACCCTAGCTGGTTTGGCTCAGTAGATAGAGCGTGGGACTGTGGACTGAAGGGTCCCAGGTTCGATTCTGGTCAAGGGCACATGTCTAGGCTGCAGGCTTGATCCCCAATAGTGAGCATGCAGGAGGCAGCTGATCAATGATTCTCATTGTTGATGTTTCTATCTCTCTCCCCCTCTCCCTTCCTCTCTGAAATCAGTATATGTAGTTTTTTTGTTTTTTGTTTTTTAAGATTGAAGGAGATCAGCTCATTTGGGCAGGCCATGCCCACTCCCCTGACCCATAGGCCTGGCAGGAGGTTGTGCTGAAACAAGGCATCTTCCTCACTTGTGGGGCAGTGTGTTGCTTCTTTGTCCTCTTCACCTTAGAAAGCTAACCACATCTGAAGACTCGAGAGGATAGTCAATATGGGCCCGGCCAGCTGGGGAAGTGGGGAAGAGACTCAGGGGCAGTGACTGGGGCCCTGGGGGCTGTTGGGGTCAGAAGGCAGATTTCCAGGTTCTCTCTTAGCACCAGCCAGGTTGACCAGCACTCTCCTCCTCCTCCTGAAGAACTTAGGGCCTCATCATCTTCCCCTTTTGAGCTCTTCCTCTATGACTGTTGACTCTGGCCTGTGGGGTGCAGAGCTGTAACCCCTACAAATGCTGCAGCCCACACATTATAACATGTCTTGTGTCCATTTAGAACTTTATGTCCCGGCTGAACGTGTGTGTGCTCATCTGCATGCATGTGTGTGTAATGTAGTTCCTAGTAGACGATATATGTATATAATAGCTGATGTATTTATATGGAAGTGCGGAATTAGTGCCTGTGGCAGTTTTCTGTATTTTAAACTCATTGAGTCAAATTAGTTTTAAGGAAGGGAAAAGAGGAGTGGGGGAGGGGTGGGGGAGAGTGTGGGAAGAAGGACTCTTAGCAAGATCCTTCTTTAGACTATTAGTTGTGATTTCCCAATGAGCCTCTATGATGCCCTTTTCAAATAAATGTTAATGTTGTCACCACATGGTTGTCTATTTGATTTCTTTAAAGTAAATGGTTTTTTGAGATGCAAACAGGATCTGAAAATACCAACATTAACCACTAACATTTAGCCACCACCACCTGCCATCTCTTTGCTTGCTTGAAAAGGAAAGAGCGTGGGGGGAAAGGATGCTACCAAGATGTAAACATGAGGATTCCCAGCATGGGAGCATCCTCTGATGGGAAGGTGTGGGCCATTTCTTCGTGAGAGTGGGGGAGGCTTTGTCTCAGGAATCTGGCGTTCTGATTCCTCTCACATCAGGGCATCCTGGTTTGCTTTCATTGTGAACTCCTAGACCATCAGCATAGCATGTGTAAGTGCCATATACAAACGTTTCCCAGCCACTTTGATCTATACCACCCACTGGTATGTCTAATGCAGTCGACATGTATGCATACATCTGTGTGTGTGTGTGAGAGAGAGAGAGAGAGAGAAAGAGAGAGAGAGAGAGAGAGAGAGGGAGAAAATCTGTGAGTCTCCTGTGAATTGGAAATGTGTTTGGCCCAGCATTGTGCAGACATCAGGGGGGCATAAAAAAGAAACCCAGCCCATGACCTCTGCACAAGTGGAGGTTGGGTTTCCCTGAGGAGAGAACAAGACTTACATACATACAGCAAGACAATTGCCATCCAAGCCAGACTGCATGCCCTCCACTGAAGAGGGCTGACTGCAGAAACACTGAAAATGAGCAGGTGTGGCTGGCAGAGATCAGTGTTCCCAGTGGAAGTGGACTTGAGCCTGGGCTCATGTTGAAAATGGGGTAACATTCAAAGTGGTGGCAGATGATGGGGAATTTCAGGTAGACACTGAAAGAGGATTAGAGAGACAGGTCAGTAGATGGAGATTGGGAAGTAGGGTTCAGTAAGGAGTGTGAACTTCATTGACAAGGGCCCAGCATGCCATGCCCTGTAGTTTGGAATTGATGGGAAATTGGAATTGATGGGAAATTGGGCCTTTTTTTTTTTTTTTTTTTTACCTCTTGAGCCAATGAATGGTTTTGTATACGTTACTGTGAAGAATTTGTATCTGATGCGTTGGGAGGAGAGCAACTGGAGACAAGGAGAAGTTGGTTAGGAAGCTGTTACAGTGGTGTAGGCCTGATCACAGAAGGATGAGAAGGGTCTGGGTTGGTCAACATCGGGGGAGAGAATGTGGACATAGCCGGGGGAAAAGAGATCCCAAGGCTTGAGTCCGTGGGACTGAAGTATCCATGTATGTTGCATTGTACTTATATAGATGTGTCTCCATGGGTGTGTGCCTGTGTGGGTGAGAATGTATCTCAGTGTGCAAATTTTAACTGAAAACAACCATCAGCACTCACAACTTAATGACAAAAAGATAATCAAGGTCATTTTTTTAACTAACTGGCACAATAGGCCCCCCCCCCCCCCCCCCCCCCAGCGAGGGAGGGGAAGGGGAACGAAATCTTGGCGTTCAGAGACTCGCCTAAGGTGGCACAGATAGCTAGGTCCAGGGGACATGACCACAGCCTCCCAGCTTACAGCCCCGAGAGCCCTTCCCACTGCCGTGGAGGTTCAGTGTCTGCCTGGCCCTGGGACAGGTGCCAGGGTTACTCTTGTACGGCCACTCCTGCAGGAATCCTGCCTTTTGGTGCATCTTCTAGCTGAGCCATCCCCTCAACTGCCTGACCCCTTGCAGACTCATCGATTGAGGGGACAGAAAAGTACATTTCCTTCCTGTGGCCACTCCCTCTGTGAATATACTGCCTCTCCTCCACTGTGCGCTCTCTTTATCCGATTGATGCGTATTCTTATTTTATTCGCTCGGTCAATATTCACAGGCAGAGGCAGAGGTGCAACTGAAAAGGCTTTATTTCCTAACTACAGGCAGCTTTCACAGGCCGAGTGCCGGTGCCGCTCCCACCGCCGGAGCGTGTGGCCCAGCCAGGCTGGGGGGCGGCGGGCCGGCCTACGAGAGGGGGTTAAAGGGGGAGAGGCCCTCACTGGCCCTTCCTGTGGGCGTTCTTGATGATGGCGTTCTTGAACAGCGTCACCAGGGGCGTCTGGCTCTTCTCCGAGCTCATGAAGCCGCCGTAGCGCTTGTCCTTGGGCGGGCTGCCCCAGCGGAAGTGCTCCATCTTGTAGGGCCCCTCGTCCTTCTTGAGCGCCGGCTGGGCCCCGGCCTCCGCCCCCGGCCCCGGCCCGTACTCCGGGGGGGCGGCGGGGACCGCCTCGCCCTGGGTCGCGGCGGCGCCCTCGGGGCCGCGCGCCGGCTCGGGCCGCTCCCGCTTGAACTCGACGGGGAAGGCCTCGGCCGACTCGTCCTCGGCGCCGTTGGGGTACACCTTCACCGGGCGCCGCTTCTTGCCCACCGGCTTGCCCCAGCGGAAGTGCTCCATGGAGTAGGAGCGCTTGCCCTCGCGCGGCCCCGGCTCGGCGCCATCGCCGCCGCCCGCGGCCACCGCCACCGCCGCCGCCGCCTCCTCCTCCTCCGCGGCGGCCCCGCGGCCGAAGCGGTCCCAGCGGAAGTGGCCCATGACGTACTTCCGGGGGTGCTCGGCCAGCAGCTGTTCCTCGCCGTTGCCGTTCCCTGGAAACACGGGCGTCTCGGCCGAGAGGTCGGCCTTGCAGGCCCGAATGCAGGCCTGCGGGAGGGGGGAGCGCGTGAGGTCACCGGGGCCCGACGGCCCGCACCCGCACCCGCGCCTGCGCCCTCCGCACCGCGGCCCTCTCCACGTGCCCGCCTCCCTGCTGGGATGCTCTCCCTGCCCAAGACGCCTGCCCATCCCGTCCTCATGGCATCCACGGGCATCTAAGACCCAGCCTGGGCATCGTCTCTTTAGTCCCCCGGACACCTTAGTATTTCAGACACCCCCCTGAGCAGGGCCAACATCTGACCGTGAATATGCCTCCTATATAGGAATTCATCCATCCATGGCAGGTGGGTGGTAGTGGTGGGCACTGAATAAATATTGAATAAAAAAGTATGGTTCACTGTGAATCTGGGTGGGGCATTGGGCTGAAATTAGAAGGAGAATGTCCCCAGGTGTCAAAAGTAGAAATCTGACTTCCAGGGCCTGTATTTTCAGTAATGCTGCAAGCTTACCCCAGTGATCTGCACACCTATCTCCTGCCCTACCTACCCCAGCCTTCTCCTACCCTCATCCAACTGGCATTTTCTCTTTGGCAAGGTTCGACAGCTCATTGGTGACAGAACTGGGACTAGAACCCATGGGTCTGACCATGCCCTATGCTCCTTCCCTACTGAGCTGTCAACGGGAGAGGCTGTGCAGTGGGTGTCTCCAATCCTGTGTCTCTTGGGTCCCTCTGAACTGGAACTCTCAGAATTCCCTGGGCTCTTTCTGTTTCTGTGCCACGTGCAGCTTGCTCTGTGCTTTTGAAAAAGTCTCTTTATCTTAACTCAGTGTTCCCATTGGCCAAACACACTGAACGTGATGAAATGCATTTCACCTTCCCCAGGCAGGTGCTGGCAGCAGGATGGCACTCAGTCACTGACACCAGCAGTGTGTCTTTTAGTCCTTGACTTGCTATCATTTCTCACTTGTGCCTCCCAAAACATGCTAGTGCGTGTGCATACACACACACACACACACACACACACACACACACACACACTTGTGTTGACCTGGAGGGAACTGAAACCTGGCACAAAAGGCCTTTACATGCTTCCTGAAAGGCTCCCTCTCCCAGAAGAAGCATGTGACATTTGGCACCAGTGAGAGGAAAATGGCCCTGGGTTTTCCTTCTCCCTCTAGAGGTGATTTGAGGAACCACCTAGCTGACTGGTAGATAGAAAGGGAAGGAAAATGGAATGAAATGGCAAAGGATAGGAGGAGGTAATTTTGAAAGGAATAATTTGGGAGTTAAAAGATTGAAAATACAGGCTCAGCCGAGGAGCAATTGTTGTTATCACAATTATTAGTATTAACATTATTTAATGGCAGCACCTCTAAATAGCTTACATTTAGAGGTGCTGCCATTGCTGCCAATGAAGCAAAGGTCATTGAAAGAGATTGTGGACCAGGCCTATCTCCTTGAAGCACTTCTTCCCCTTCTTGGCCCAGTGCCGACTTCCGCCTGGGGCCTGCTCCTGACCTGAGCTGCGTCACCCAGTTATCCCTGGGAATGAATTTCCCCTTGCCCATAGCACTTTCTCTTGTGCTGCCCCAGCCCCAGCCCCAGTTCCATCAGATGCCCTAACCAAGAGGACAGCTGTGGCCCACGTACCAGCAGGTTACTTTCCGTGGTGAGGTCCTGGCACTGGCTGCTCTCCAGACACCAGCCACGCACTTCCACGAAGGCCTGAAGCAGCAGGGCAAGCAGGAGGGCCCCCGAGCGGCTGCAGCATGATCTAGGCATTTTCCAGGCCGGCCGAGGCTCTGCAGAGGCAAACAAGATTTGTGGGACCCCTGCAAGGAGCAGAACAATGTTGGCCACTCACCAGGAAGGACCTGGAGCCAACAGTAACAACACAACCATTTGTGGACCTCAAGGCTTTTTAAGGACAGGAGCAGCTCAAGGAGAAGGCTGGTGTGCAGGGAGGTGGTCTGAATTGTGCTAGAGACAATAGGGGACTAGGATCTTGGCAAACGTGCAATTTCCCCTTTATCTCCTATTAAAAAATCACACCCCAAAGAAGGTTAGCACTGGAAGCTATTTTAGGGGTCATTTGGTGTAGCCTCTTATTTGAGTATTATTTTAATGGCAGTATCTCTAGATAGCTTAACTGGAGTGAGGTCTCCATACAAGAAGACAAGAAGTAACGATAAGCAGAAATTGTGGACCAGACCCATCTTCCAGAAGTGCTTTCTCCCCTCCTTGGAGGGTTATTTTTACCTCCTGTCTTTTTTTTCTTTTTTTTTTTTTTAATATATTTTATTGATCTTATACAGAGAGGAAGGGAGAGAGAGAGTCATCGATCAGCTGCCTCCTGCACACCCCCCACTGGGGATATGCCCGCAACCAAGGTACATGCCCTTGACCGGAATCGAACCCCGGGTCCCTTCAGTCCCCAAGCCGACGCTCTATCCATTGAGCCAAACTGGTCTCGGCTATTTTTACCTCCTGTCTTCTTGATTGGAAGCTCACTCTATTTAAGCTATTTGGAGATATTGCCATTAAAATATACTAATAATAGTAATGACAAGGTAAGGCTAAGTTCTGTTTATAGCACAGAACCTTCATATTCCAAAACCTTCATGCAGCTACCGTTCTAACACTCCAGATCCAAGGAGTAACTTGGGAAAGACAGGGGTTCAGAAACTCCTGCCCAACGTGGTCTCTTTCCCTCCTGCCCCATCAAGACCCTATCATTCCTCAGAAACCTCCATTTTCTGGGAATCGTAGGTTTGCATAAAGGCAAATAAAACCTCTGGCCAATTTAGCCAAAACCTCAGCCAGCCGAGTCTGTTGTCCTGTACACAGATCACACACGTGATCACTGTTTCCCCAGACCCCTGCACTTGGGAGAGATTTTTAAAGCAACCCCCATCCTTTTAAAAGCGAGTCATCTTCTAAACACATTACAAGTCAGACCTCTTGACTTCCGATTCTCTCAGCTGTAGTCTGAAATAGCCGGATTTGAACATGCAGTAGGTGAAGAAGGGAAAGAGATGGACCCACAGAGCAAAGGGAAGGACCTGCCATTGTGAACACCTACAAAAGAGACTTCCAAGTATCTCTCTGCAGATGCTGAGGTCAAGAGAGCAGGGTGTAGGATGCTGCCTGATGCTGTCTTTGGCCTCTTGTGCCCAATGCTTTCCCCGACCCTGCAGGTTTCGTGCTGCCAAGTCCCTCCTCACCCAGGTTGGCCCCTTGAAGTGGCCCTAAGTTCTGTCATCAGCTCACCACCAACCCCACAATCATTTTGTATTTCAGAAGACCTTCTCAACCAGCTGTTAGGAAGAAACCTCATTAGATGAGAAAAGTAATTTACATTAAGGTGAGGATGATTAATTTTTTTGTCTCGTCTAATAGACATTTGCAATTTAAAATGGAAGAAACCTCTCATTCGTGGAGGCGTGGGCCAGATCTTTTTTTTTTTTTTTTTTTATAGGGGAGGCTTTGGAATCGAAAGTTCTCCCTGGCCCTCATTGTCTACTTCAGAGAGCCATTTCCTTTTCTCTGCCCCACCCCTACTTATTTTCCCAAAAGCAGAGCCAGCTCAGGACTCCCTTCTGAATGGTGGCCAGATACTGCCTGGATGTTTTCAGGGAAGCCATTAGATGGCGCTGGCAGTCAGTGAGCCGGCCCATCAGCATCCCAGGCAACTAGGAGAGCATTGGTCAACCTTGATGTCTACTACTGACCAGGACAGGCTGCTCCTGTGAAAGCCTTTTGATGCTCTAGGTCAAGTATGAAGTCTTAACGTGGTGGACAAGACCACACAACGCCCTTGTAAATACCCAGATTTACAAGAAAAGCAGGAAAAGGATAATCATATATCACTGTGGCAAGTTTAACATATCCTATGAGTAAAAAAAGAAATAAGATCATATAGGTCTGACAGATTCCTCAACTATATTTTAATTCCCCTCAAAACTGGCCATTCTAGAGTGATTTCTATTTTCTAAAAACCTGCCTCATGATTACAGGTTTCTGAGAGCATGTTCTTACCTTCTGCCCCACTGGTGGTGTTGTACACACGGTCACTTCCCACCCTCCAAGCTCCATTCTACTGCTAAGATGCTAGACTGTTTCTTTTTCCTTGTATGTAGTCTTACTTTTTCTACAGTGAATCAATATTGCCTTGTGCCATTTTTTTTTAAATTAAAAAAGGCATATAGTAATGGGGAGATGTCAAATATTGTGCTTTCTGTGGGTAGGGAGAGGTTTTTGAAAGCCTTGGAAAAACAAATAGAAGTCTGTACTTTGTTCATCTTAGCATTCGCTTTATAACAGAGTGACACTTGTAAAAAGCCCCCACATGCAGGTGAATTCTCTGTGAGCTCAGCAAGACGTTGTGTCCCTGTAAAGCTGTGTATTGGCCATGCCTTTCTGTAAGTATGAGAGGCTCGGAGTTTTGTCCTTACACCGAGATACCTAGGCGTCAAGTCCTACAATAGAAGTGTCCATGGGTTATTGTCATTCAAGAAGCCTTAATCTGAACATCTCTTAACAATGGGTGAATACACACTTTTACTCTCCTTGGCTCTTTCCAGCCAGTCTGTGAGAGTCCCTACCCCCCCCCGTTTAGACACGAAGAATTTGGGGGATCCGGGTGCCCTGTAGACTCTCCCTCCTTCACGGGAAATCGCCCTCTCCTGAGCCTTGGCCAGCTCACACGGCTGCTTCTGCCCTGCTTCTGCCCGGCAATCTAGGGTCTGGGGGACAGAGGTCCTCCACTCTGCGGCCCCATTGAGATGGCAGACAGGGCTGTTCAGCACCTCGGACAGCTCCCCGGGGCCACCTCCTTCACATCCAGCTGCTGGGTCTTGTAGAGGAGACCAAGCCATTGGCAGAAAACAAAAACAAAAACAAAACAAACAAACAAAAACAAACAAAAAAACGAGCATTCGGGGGTCTGCATCCAAGAAAGCCTGAGATACAGGGAGTTTTTGTGACTATTAGCTTTTGCTCTTCTGTCCCCGTTTTCAACGTTCATTTGCACTAGAATATATGGTCTCTTTTAAGGGACATCTACCCAGAAAATTAGGAGGAAGAGGCGCCCTAACACTGGCTCTCCCAGGAGGCGGCCGGAGTCTCAGGGGTCCTGGCAGCCCCACTCCCCGGGAGGGAGATGGGGAGAGACGCGGCGGCCGCCAGCTCCTGGGAGACGGGCCCCGCCACCCCGCCGCCCCGCTGCCCGCTGCCCGAGGCTTCCCGCGCCGCACAGGACAAAAACTTTTCAAAGAACTCGGGACCGGGACCGCGGGCGGGAGCACCCCGAGTTCCGGGGCAGGGAGTCGCGGAGGAAGAGCGAGGCCCCGCTCCGCTGCGCCCTTACCTGCCGCGGGGAGGCTGCGCCCGAGCGAGGATGCTCTCCGGAGGGTCCCTTCTCTTCCTCTCTTCCTCCTCCTCCCCGCCTGGCCCCGGTGGCTCTCCGCGGTCCTTTTATACGGGGTTCGCCCGAGTGGGCGCTGGACGCGAACTTCCCGGCAGGGCGACTCCCCCGTCCCCGGGAAGGGGGGCGGGGACGGGAGGGGCGCTTCCAGGTAGGAGCGGAGCGGGGCAGCGGGCGGACGCGTCCGGAAAGGGGGCCGGTCCCCGCCCCCGGAGGCCGGGATTAGCACCGTCCTGCAGAAGGACGCACCTGGCGTCCGGCAGAGGAGGATTTAATTAAGTTCGGGGCTGGGTCTCCAGGTGGGACCGGCGGGCGGCTTAGCGCCCCGGTGTGGGTGCGCCGCGGGGGCCGCGGGGCAGCGGGAAGCGGGTGGAGTTGCGTGTGTGCGTTTGGGCTGGCATCTGCCTTGGCCGCGTTTGCAGGTAAATATCGCCGCAAAGAGCGGACGTCAGCACTACCTCCGGTTCCCCCAGCTTTTGGAAGGGGATTTGAAGATGTCGCCACAGGAATCATGAAGCCACAATCTCTGTTCCAGGTGGGAGTGGGGGTGCGGAAACAGAGGGGGTACGGAGCCCCTCACCCGAGGTCCTGGACAGGCTGCCTTCCTGGGTGTGAAAGTCAGTTGCACTGCCTGCTCCCAACACACACACACGCCTTTATGGCCATACGCTTCTACTTATGGCTTTAGCTGCATCCACAGACTTTGATAGGTTATATTTTTATTACCATTGAGTTTATCTTCTTATTTTCCTTGAGATGTCTTGGCCGCCCTGTGGGTTATTGAGATGTGTTCTGTTTAACTTCCAAACGCAAGGGGGGGGGGGGATCTGGAGGAGGGTTCTAGTTGTTTTGAAGCTAATGAGAGATTTTGCACCCCGTTCAAAATAATGAAGTATATATTAATTTCTAGACATAAAAAATGACCGCTATCGGTTGTTAGGTGGAGGAACTGTGACAAGCTATAGATATAGGCAATGATAGAGACGGAGATGAAATGGTTGTCTACTGCTACACCACAAATCTCCCAGAACACAAATGGTTTGAAACCACCTTTCTTTTGGTCCCGAATCTGCAATGTGGTCAAGGCCCAGCAGAGCCAGCCTGTCCCCGACCTGTCATGGGCTTGGCCAGCTCACAGGGCAGACAATTAATTACCTCCAGCCAGTCACTCCCAGGACGGGTTCCTGGACTGGGGAGGCTCAAACAGCCAGGGGGGAGGGGCGTCTCAGACACCTGCTGTGTGTGTGTAGCCTTGTTGAGTGCAGCCCTAGAGGAGCTGGACTTCCCCGGGGCTCGGGGCCCCCCAAGCTCGCATCTAGCACTGATTGTCCTGCCAGGCAGTGGGGGTGGCTGGTCA